GTTAAAGCTTAACTGAACGGGATCTTCAATGGCACATGCCCTGCGGGACTGACTATATAGTACCCACTATCGCGACGGGGTAACTTCCTCCCTTGCCTTCAGCTAATCCTTGAAATCCACACCACCAACACACGCGAGAGCATGTCCAGAAAAGCTCCACACACCCCTTTGCAGCACACACTCCAGTTTTTGCAGTATGGCTGTAAGCATTTTATAAAATACTCAAATATCTGCCCAACGTCGCATCTCGAGGGCCAAAGGCCCACACACGCCGTGACAACGCCGTAGGTGAGAAGTGGTGAAACTTGTTGATGAGTCAAAACGGAGTACAACAACATCGGAAACCTGCTGCTGCCCTAACACCCTAACCGAGTCCCTGTGGTGTGTTGGTGAGATAACAGATAGCTGGGGATGAAGTGGGGAAAGAGCCTACTGCATTGAACGTCCACACTAAATGGTGATCAGACCAGGCTGCCCTTCCAAGGTGATCACACGTTGGGCGACGAAGGGGAGGTGACAGATGACCATTTCCAGTTCGATGAGCCTTTCTGGGTGGATTTGCCAGGTGATGGTGGGCAGGGGCGTAGGCTCGCCGGGGGCAGAGGGCGCCTGGGAGTGAAACTCGGGGATCTCCAAAACGCCACGTGTGGACCTCCAGAACTGCAGGATGGCCCTTTGCAACAGGTCCAAGACGTGGTCGGGCTGGACCAGGGGGTCATAATATTTCTTGGCGTCTCTAGTGAACTCGAGCTCCCATGTGACGATGGCGACTTCGTATTCCTTTCGGCGTGCTTCCAAGCGGGCTAACGTACCTCCACTAAGGTCTTGTTACTGAAGGATTCCCAAACTTCGCGATCGAGGGGGGCGCCCGGAGGTTCTCTGGGAGGGCGTCAGAGGTCTCCCAGCCGTCTTGTACCAGCGCTTGCAGCTTGTTGATGGTGTCGACGGCCAAGGCGTGGGACGATGCCAGCTCCACGATGCGCTTGAGCACTGTGGTGAGGGGCCGGTGATACAGCTCGGGAAAGAGTCGGATCATGTGCTCGATGGAAGGTGAGGCGTTAATGGCCTCACGGAGATTATGGGAAGGTGTAGAGGTGGAGGACATGGCCAAGGACTGGGGTGATGGTGACGGAATGCCAGTGTGCATGGCCGCTGAGTTTATACTGTTCTCTGACCTCCAAGCTGGGGTAAATCACTGCCCTTTAACGGGTGATGACTCACACGCTCAAAAACACGTGATGAAACCTTAGTCACAGGAAAGACGTCAGCGGATTTTTCGGCATGTTGAACGTGTGGATACAGGCCTATGATTTACATACCCGCTGCTGTTCCGATCACCTAGCGGCATTCCGCACATACCAGCGCAACTCCCTTCCGCCCTGGTTCGAAGATCTGCCGCGTCCGGCAGGAAAGCCTGCACACCCCATCGCTCTCACTTTATCTCATGGGATCGCCCAACAGCCCCATTCGAGCAGATACCCAAAAAAAATTAAACTACGTCGAGCCGCAAGACAGTGAGCCACCTGTGACTACTGTGACATCACGCCAGGAAATTTCCTGGCTAAGCACAGCCACCTTCTACCAGGCACAAGGTCAAGTTGTCGTGGGTGCCCGACCCCTACATCAGCATTAATTCGGCGAGGTAAGGGGCCCAGGCATATGAATGCCCGGGTTTTTATTTTCCGACGGAAGGGACCGACGGATGGGTACATGCGTAGATAGACGCGGGAATGAAAGAAAGAGCATATTCTGGGTGGGCATAGTGAAGGGTAGCTCAAAAAACACTCGGCTCGCGTCTAGCAGGAGCACAGAAAGGTGTCAGCAAAACTGGACGAGCGCGAGGGGGGCCGGGCCGGCTCACCTGGCAGCACCACGGAAAGCTTGGGCTGGCACAGATCCGCCTCCCACCCTTTCGAAGTCCCGCCCGGTGGGGGGGCTCATGGGGGCGGGTTCTAGTTTGTCCACCCCAGAGGCTTCTCGCCGTGACAGTCGGACATCACGTATGTATTAAGGTGAGGCCGCGTCGCGGCCTCGTCCCTGCCCCCGTCTAAGCCTCTACAGCAGCTCCCAGCAGCAGCGTGTCGTAAGTATTCAGCAGACCCGTCCTCAGCGACTTCCCGCGCATCACACAGGTGCAAGTTCGCCTTCCGCTTATGGTCAACGATCGGAAGTTAGTTACCACGTACGAGGAGGCCCCCCACGAACTGGTGGCTGTGGGGTCAGTGACTTGGTCAGTACCTTGGAAGGCGGTGGGCGAGACGCAGAGCACAAACGACCAGGCGGAGTACTCGGCGTCCTCGAGCTTGTGAAAAACCGCTAGCACATCCACAGCGAGCCTCTTCCGTACGGATGTGAGGGCGTCGTGGGTGCGTCGTGGGATTGAAACAGATGCCTATTGATCGTTTGCTACCGACCCAGGCAGGAATGTTTCTTATCCAACAGCTGAGCAGACTGGGGGCAAGCGCGCAACAGCAGTATAATTCGAGCGACAGAAAAAATGCGCAAATGACAACAACAACAACAAATACATCAAGGCCTTACGGCCAGGAGGACCCTGTCCCCGAGCAACCACAGCAGGCCAGTCACTCCTTCTCGACGTCCTTCGGGACGTCCTCCGGGACGAAGCCGTCGGGGAGAGGGATGTCGGGGGCCGACCACACCTCGAGCGCGTGCCAGCAAGGCACTATTTTCGGGTGGGCCCTCAGGGCCGTCTCGTACGCTTCCTCTTCTTCGGGGATGACCTCCACCGCGAGGCGCATCCAGTTGGAAGTGAAGGGGATGGTGACGGGGCGCGCGCTGGCGACGCCGTTCCCGACGTCCGCAGGCGGCACGAGGCCTGACGAGGGGGTGGGTCGTGATGAGGACTGTCAAGCTAACTTTGAAGCACTCACCAAGGAGGTTGTCCACAGTAAACCACTCCACCTCTGTGGACCAGAAGCGGAGATTAGGAGGGTGGTCCTTTGACAAGAAAATGGTATTGAACCTGGTGAAAGTGGTCAGTGTGGCAGAGAAGGAGAGGATGTGGCTCTCACTCCTCATCCTGTTTGGCGTCAAAGGGACGGAGGACGTTGTGGCCCACGATCTTGAGGTCAACCAAATCGTGGATATTCTCCACGGAGAACGCCCAGGCTAACCCGACGTACTCGATTTTCTTGGCCACGTCAAACATAGAAGTGAGAATGAGAGACAGTAACGTACTTCTTTGGCCCTGGGGTGGACGGCCCGGATGGAGTGGGTGCGGACTGGGTGCTGGGAGGAGTAGTCGACGAGGATCGCGATCCACGCGTCGGGAAGCTTTTTAGACGGGGTTTCATCGAAGCCGTTGACCACGAGCACACTGGGAGACGGACAACATCGTGTTGAGCGTGGGTTGGAGGCCCCAGCGAGGGTGTTACTTACATGTCACCGGCGGCGTAGATGGTGCCATTGTAGATGAACGGCCGAGTGGGGCATGCACCGCCTGCGTCGTCGCTGTGTATTGTATTGTAAGTCACCCGAGTGAATACCTAAAGGTGAAGCTCACAGGAGGGTTCGAAGAACCGGGTTGGTGGCCATAATCCTCTTGTAGGTGAGGCGAGGGCCAGGAAGCTCAGTGCGGGACGGGAGGACAATGGCTTCGGACATGGTGGGAGTGTGGGGGTCGGTTGGTAAGGGGAGCCTGAGACTTTATATATAGGTAGCGTAGGTAGGAAGCGCCGGATGACGAACCTAACCACGTGCGATTGATTGGGGGACGCAGATAAGCTGAAGAACAATAGAGGGATGAGCGCTCTGGGATGAGAATAAGCACGTGGGGGTGGGATGGATATGCACTTAGCCGCATATACCGCCCATACCTTGGGCGTCCGGTGTTGGTACGGGGCGTCAGGCGTACTCGCTGCACACGGCATACAGCATATCAACACTAACTTGTGCTTTAGAGACCCATTCGTATTGGACGCAGCCTGGAAAGGTCAGCAGCATCCTTTGTGCTTGATGACCCTCTCAAGGCCCACGTGGTTGCGACTAGAACAAAGGCTACATTGCGTCGAAGACTATATGCCCCACGTCATTGTCAACATGAACGGTACCGCCCACGGCTTTGTCGACAGAAATTGCACGGCCTGCTGCCGACTTGAGTCCTCACTGGTCCGCCCATATGCCCGCGATGCGCCCTGTGCCAACCGGCATCCTTGCAGACACAGTCTTCCCCAGCCTTGTCTCCTAGCCCATAAGAGAAGTTACCTGGCTCCACCTCATCCCTTGGCAGGATCATACAGTGTAAGTACCGCCCTTGGCTCGCCATCCGTTCGCGTCGCCGGCGCTCTAAAAGGGCCCCTGCCCCTTCTATCACGAACTCCAAGATGCCTCCAAAGACTTACCCAACCCCCTCTCGCTCCACACGGACAACAAAGTCCGCCGCCGCCCCCGTCGCACTGTTTACCGATGACCTCGCCGACAAGCTCGCCACCAAGCTCACAATATCGAATGGAAAGGCGAAGGCCAACTTACCTGTCGAGCTTACTCTAGAAGAGGGCAAAGCAGGCGCGAGGCGCGCTGTGAATGCGGCCTCCAAGAGCCTCTCCGCCGTCCTCGAGACGGGCTGGAAAACCGGCTCTGAGGCGAAGCCTACCGTCGATGGCACCACTGCAACTTCCGTCACGAAGCACGCGGAAGGAGCTGGGGACTCTTCGGATGTTGGATCCTAGACAGGTCGATGTCGAGAGGGCAGCGTCGACCGTGATGGGAAAGCTCGTTGGTCTCAACATGGTGCGTCCCTCGCTTCTCTCCATCCACGCCCCCTGACGCTTGCATAGTATCATGCGGCCCTCGGTCTGTTACAAGACATGTATCCTTTCTGTACTAGCCAAGACGATGCACCGTCAAGCACTTCCCCGTTGACCCTCCTCGCCCTTCCCATTCCCAATGTCCACATTTCAGACATCCATCTAGCTCTCATCTCTGCCTATCATGTACATGCGCTCGAAGTCCTCTCTCACACCACAACCGACCGTGCTGCTCTTGCCTCAGCCCTACTCGACCCAAACAGCCCCACGATTTTGACCTGGTCCCCCACATTCTCTGCACTCTCGGAGAAACAGCACGACCATCTCTTTACCCGCGCATACTCCCTAACGGCGTCCCCCTTGCCTCCTCAATACTATACACCTGCCATCAACAGCATACTCCCTCCGTATATCTGCGCTCCTCTGTCTCGCGTGTACGCGCCCCTCTGTCATCACCCCATCCACGTTCTGGGAACAAGCTGTCAAGTTCGCCGCCATGTACGCGAACGCCGCCTCGTCGGAGCCCAAAGAGCACGCGGGACATGTGACGACGTCCTTCGCGCGGCGCAGGCTCGGCCGGACGCGGCGGAGATCATGGCGTGACCAGTGTTGGCCCGTTTCTGCGAGTACTGGAGTCGTTTCGCGAAGCAGGTGAGTACTGGCCCACGCGCGATTGGACGTCTGGCTAAGGGACGCGTCCAGGCTGGTGCTACGCTTGAAAGCATCGGTCGCTTTGCGCAGCCGACAGGGGCCGCATACGCCTCGGAAGAGGACCGTAAGGTCATCGAAGCTTCGGACTTGGCAACGACGCTGGCCCGCGCGCTGGCTGTCTTCGAGCATTGGCAACGTGGGATGGTTGCTATTGAGGGCTGCGAAGTGTCGTTGACCCCCCGTTCCATGGAGCATGGATCCGATTTCGCCTCAAAGCTTTCTGAAGGGTCTGCGGCAATCAAGCGATATGGGCCCATACTCGCTCAAAGTGCGAGCCATGCCGAGCGCGTCAAGCGTGGGGTAGAACGCTTGCGCCGCGCTTCGATGAAAGTGCTTGAACCCTCTCGGTCCGACACTACGAACTATCCACCTGAAGTCAGGGCCACTTGCCGCACGATCCTCCATGGTGCTGTTGACGCTATTTGTGAAGCAATAATGACGGTAAGCTTTTCATGGTCTTGCATGGATTGTTTGTTGACAATCATGCATAGCACAATACTCGAACCACGAATCTTCTTGGACTCTTCCTGGAGGGCCTCTTAACTGTTGCACGGACATCTTTCGCTCTGAACAACCGTGACACATACGCAACTGCACGATCACTTCTTTCACGAGCACGATCTCTGCTACCCTCATCACCATTATCCGAGGGATCCATCTCTCCAATATCCGCAGCATATTATACGCGTTGCGTGGCCGCAGTCCACTATTATCTGGCTGGAAAGCTTCACCACAGCGGTCGATATGACCATACCGCCCTTTTTGTCGAGGAAGCGTGCACTCTAGGTAAACAGGCATTGGATGAGTACCACGAGGTCAAGACCTCTAGTACCACCATGGACGTCGACGGAGAAGCTGCATGCAAAGAAGAGCCTTGGAAACAGCTCGAGGAACAGCTGTTCCATCGCTGGGAACTGTTGGGGGTTTGCCATGTCAAGACCGGCGATCGCAGGGTACGTGTACTTTACTTTATGCATATACCTCCGGCTTACACACTATCCAGTCTGCGTACGATGCATTCGTCAGAGGGTTCCCATTCGCGAACCACGACCTGGTGGGCCTCGCGTGCAAGACGCCTATCGTGCGGCTCTTTGAGAATCCTGCGCTGAAGCAGCTCGGCGTGCTCGTCGACCGCGTGACGTACGTCGCGGCGTGCGAGCTTCTCCTCCTGCCGACCGCCGTTTCCTCCCTCTCGTGGTTCTCCGATGATGGAACTAGTATGGAGCGTAAATGCATCTATGGGGCGCTTATAGAGCGGCAGATCGCAAGCTTGGAAGAAAGCAAGTGGAAGCCGGGCGTCAGGGACGTGTTGAGGCAGCTCGTGGACGACGGCTTGCTACGCTGTGCGAGCCTCCCTCGGCGGTGGGCGTGCGGTGAAAGATCTCCAGGCTGCGGCCCTGCGAAGCGTGCGACGTGAGGCGCCGCGAAGGCCGCGCCACGCCCGAAGATCGCGGTAACGCGGACGAGGGCGCCGAATGAAGCTCTGTGACCGGGCCCACCACATCGCCTACACTGACACACGCGATTCTTACACCTGGTAGGCCCTGGAATGAAATGTTTCTCGCGTATGCGCTGTCGGATGGCCCTAAAATGGGTGGACCAGTCGCACTTGCAGGCGCACGACTTCCTCCGCTCGAACTACGTGCCGTCACGTAACATTTGGGGACGTTCCCTAGACGTATACACTATGACGGAGTTGACTATAGGCACGCGAGTGCACACGAAGGCACACTGGGTCACATGCGGGCGCCATTTGTCGAAGCTAACGAGCGCCATTTGTCGAAGCTAACGAGCGCCATTTGTCGAAGCTAACGAGCGCCATTTGTCGAAGCTAACGAGCGCTGCGTGGTCTTAGCGTGTTCGAGATGCGAGGCCTACAATTGCGCCACAGAATGTGTATTGTGATGAAATGCTACGCGTAAAGAGGGTCCCATACGTCTAGCGTGCTGGCTGTCAGCGACCGCTGGTGCTTGCGTCTAACCCATTCCGGAAGACGGAGGGTAAATTCAGTCAGTGCAACGATCGCAATGTGAGTGTCCATGACCCCGAACATCGTGACACCCCAACTCCTTTCGACCTCGTTGACGACGTAGTTGAAAGCACCGCCAGGTTGGCGCATGACGCCGATGTCGATGCGTGTGAAGGCGGTGAGATCCGACGATCTGGTGGGAGATGAGGCTTCCTCACGCTTGACGAGATCTTCATACGTTTTGCGGGCAAACTCCTTCAACTCTTCTAGACCCCTGTCGGCATGGTCAGCGTGCCGCTTTGGGTTGACCCAGCCGTACGACGGTCGTTCCTTCGTTTTCTCTTGGTCCTCCAATGATTTCCTATACGGTTGTGGTGAGCGAAAAAGCTTGTGGGGGCCAGAAAAACACGGACTGGAGCATATGTAGTGGCATCACGCCCCCGACCGACTGTGACGATGTGTCGTCGTTTGCGTACCCGATCATCAGAGAGGTGTCGGTGTGGACCGTATACTGGTGGGTGCCGTGGATGAAGTAGCACCTGATCTCACCGAGAATCCTGAGAGTGTCGACGTAGTCTTGCATGAGCCACGCCCGGGAGGCCAGTGGCGGGGCAGTGGCGTTAGGTTTTTCCCACAGACTTCCCCAACGATCGACGGGGTTCTTGTTGACGTCAGTGCAGACGTGCTCCCCCCAACCACTGTGTCCTCGTTTGATGACCTTCCCATCGACGTAGGAGTAGCCAAAGACTATGGGGGACGTGCGTGGCCGTGGCGCCTTTGCAATGGCGTCGAGGTTCTTGATGAGCGCAGCCTTGCCACCGTAGACTAGGCCTTCTGAGGGGTCTGGCCAGACGACAGTGTAGTCCATGATGGTGATCAAGTTCCCCATGTATGTGGCAACGTGGTGCGGCGGGAGGAGAGACCTGATGGTGTGTGAGACGATGTGTATGAATAGTAGAGTGACCTCACGTGTAGTCGCCCGTGAAGTCGACACCACCCACGACGAGCTCGGCGTGGTTGACGAGGGTCCAAACGTCCCGAGTGGCCGCGGAAGCCTGGGGGTCAAGCATCGCTGCGAGGAAGTCCGAAAAGGGTACAAATTTGACCTCAAACAGATCACGGTGGGTGTTTAAGACGTGGGGGACCATCAACTGAGATTATCGGTGGGTTGTGGGTGAGTACAAGTACCCAGACATGTGAAACGAGAACTCACCCAGTCCCACATGTGTGCAATGCCCCCATCCTTGGTATCAGGGTGGTAGTAAATGGAATTGTCTTCGCCCGTGGTGAATATGTGCCGTGGGAATGCGGACTTGAGGGCGACGAATTCTTCACGGGTGAGATTGATGTCGATCCAGCTTGTTAGTCCTTGAACCGCGTCGGGAACGACTTGGTTGAAGTCGTTGTTGTGCTCTAAACCCAGTTGCGATTCCTCGACGACAACCACACGCATGGGGCGGCCATTGGGCTGGGGGTGCTGCAGGTTGGAGCCCTGGGGCAGGCGGCTGGAGGAGGGCTCAGCGGGTGATGGCGAGCGACGTATAGGTTCGCGACGTTGCTTGGGCTTTCGGTGACGAGGCCTGGCGGGTTCGCGAGAGGGCTTAACGGATGAGGGGTCGACGGAGGTGGATGCGCGCGGGGTGGGCGAAGCCAGTGGCGCTGGCGCGGGTAATGATACGGCTGAAGAAGACGCAGCCTGATTGGATGGCGTGGCAACAGGCGGGGCGGGAGGAGTGAACGACACAACGGGAGTAGGCAAAGCTGTAGAATGACTTAAGGGAGACTTCATGGGAGCGATCAAACAACCTAGGTTACCTAAGAGCTCGTCGAGTAACTGCATCTGGTATAACGCAGATTTGGTTTTGCGAGACCGGCCGGTGTTGGATTTTTTTAGAACTGCGATGTATTTCTGCAAGTCATGCTGACTCAAGTATTGTCGTAATTGTTGAGCAGACAACAACTCGACATAATAGGTTTTGCCTTCCAGGTCGGCCACTTGCAGTTGACGGACGCAGTCGCAATTTGCTTTGTGAGGAGAGTCGACGTGGCGCTTTGCCGTGGCTTTGGGCAGGGGAGAAGCGTGTCCTCGTTCTGAACATGTATGGGGGCACCACATATAGCACTGGCTGGGCGTCTCAGAATACGGGAGGGTAGTCATGGTGTTGAGGGGGCGGGCTAGGTGGCGAAGGCGTGGGAAAGGGAGGCCAGGAGGCGCGACAGAAAGGGGGAGTGGGGAAAGACTTGAAGACGCTGCAGGCGCGGCAGTTAAAAGTGGGAGATCGCGCGCTTGATGACGAAGATAAGGAACATCGCGGGCCGCTCTGGGACGTATTGAAGTCAGGACCGGCGCAGTAGCCGGAATAGGCGCCGTCTTGGGGATAAAAGGAAGGACGAGCGCGTGTCGTGCCAGGCCCCAGCTTTTGTTCTCCCCACCTCATCAGTGCCGCAATGACTTCCACGCGTCCCATGCGACAGACGGCCGAGGAGGCCCGGGTTATCATGAACAAAACCCTGACGGAAGAAGGTATGGGCGACGCTGACTGGGAACAGCTCCACATGGGGACCCCATCAGAGCGGCGGTCCTCCAAACGGTCGACGCCCGACGTCAACCCCGGTGGGTGACATGTATCTGCACGTGTGGAGGTAATCTAATTACCGTGGGAGCAGAAGCGGCAGGCATGGGCGACGGCTCAAGCGAGGTCTCCGAGAGACCGACCAAAAAAGCAAAAAGAGAGAAGAAGAAAAAGGGCAACGATGAGGCGTTGTGGCCGTCCACGACCCCCGGGATTCCAGTGTGGGGTACGTCAACCTCATCCCGTGGCCGGCTCACGACTGACCAAAACACAGATTCCCATGCCTTAGAGCAGGACGGTACATACAAATTTGTGCCTGGCGATGTTCACTCTCGGCAGTTCAAGGCGCACAGCAAGCGAGGGTTTGACCGGGCGAATAAGTTGCTTGCCAACTTGAACCGGTTCGGTACGTCGACGTCGTTATTCCGAAGCGTCGCAAGTGAGTCTCACTCTCGTTGATTGCGCACACAGTCACAGACTGGGAGGCGGAATGCCGAGATGAGGAGGAACAGGGGTCTGAGGCCGAACCGCAAGACACAAACGAGAAGGGAAAGGGACGGGCTTAACAGGGCGATGACGTGGACCGCTGTCGGGTTCCCCGTTGTAATAAGCTCCCACAGACTACTACAACGTCCGCGCTGCGCACGCGACCTTTGTAGTGGACGGGCCGGAACCTGAGCACTAGTTGGCTATCATCCTATTTCACTTCTCTTTTCATTCTCTCTTCATCGCATTTCACTAGATCGCGTTCCACTCGTTCTACTGTAGCTTCCGTCGCACCCTACGGGCCGAACCGATGCCTCGATAGCCCACTCGAACGACGTCGGGACGATAGGTCCGGGGCGGGACAGATGCACGCGACCGCGGCGGAACGGGGGCGGCCTGTGCTTCGTAAATAATCGCTGTGCGCTGTTCTCACCCCACTCGAGGCATTCCCCGACGTACCTCAAGCAGCGCCGGAATCGATGGTGGAGGGGAACGCAAGGACGGTGCGCGGACGAGACCTCAGCCATGGACTCTGGACCCGATTTGGACTGTATGCGCTCTTCCCTCAGTTTCTGTTCGCTTTCTATGTGACGTTGCTCTCTTAAATGTACGGCTCAGGCCCCACGCAATGTAGTTCCCCTTTCCCTCTATCTCTCTATCTGTCAGTCCGTCCGTCGCCCGTTCGCCCGTTCGCCCGTCCGCGTAGTCGCCCACCGCCGAGACGCGTTATCTCTCTCTCCCTTCCTTCCTCTTCTCTCATATCACTCGCCGACATCCATCGACTTGGGACGACACACTCCAACACCGCACTTAACCGTATGCATGTGCTGTTGAGCTCGCTGTAGAATGTGAATATGCATGGGGGATGGGGCTATGTGTCGAAGCTAACGAGCGCTCATTGTCGAAGCTAACGAGCGCCATTTGTCGAAGCTAACGAGCGCCATTTGTCGAAGCTAACGAGCGCCATTTGTCGAAGCTAACGAGCGCCATTTGTCGAAGCTAACGAGCGCCATTTGTCGAAGCTAACGAGCGCTATGTGTCGAAGCTAACGAGCGCTCATTGTCGAAGCTAACGAGCGCTCATTGTCGAAGCTAACGAGCGCCATTTGTCGAAGCTAACGAGCGCCATTTGTCGAAGCTAACGAGCGCCATTTGTCGAAGCTAACGAGCGCCATTTGTCGAAGCTAACGAGCGCTATTTGTCGAAGCTAACGAGCGCTATTTGTCGAAGCTAACGAGCGCTATTTGTCGAAGATGCCATCACTGCCTCGCACCAAGAACGTGGGGATCCTCCACCAACATGTGCTCCACGGAAACACCGAAAACATCACTAGGCTCGTCTCCAGCATTACAGGCTCGACTGCGCTTGAATCGGAACGCATACCGTGCCGGCCGCACAAGGAAACACCGACGTGGTCGTGGGGATGGCGAAATTGATGTGGGCCGCGCTGAACGCAGCTCCCTCAGAATACGGTCGAGGACCTGGATGGTAAGCGAGGATTCTCTCGCGCCCAAGCTTTCGACTTTTGAACAAAACCTGGGACGGTTGCTCGCAGTTGGCGAAGAGCGGGACCACGAGCGTGAGCAGTGGACGGACCGAGTGAATAGTAGGCTTGATATACCATCATGATATACCTGTGCTGAACTCCAACCGCCGCGGCATACGCGCATTTGAATGAGGCTGACGATGTGCGAGCTCGATTGAGGGCCGGCCAAGCACAAAGTAACGCAAGCTTGCAAGGTCGCTCACCTGAGGGCCTTGGGGTTGCACGGCCGTCCTTTATGAAGCGGTGCACTTACATTCAACGCTTTTCCGTTTGCATCGTCCAAACGCACACATGCACACGCCGTCAAGGTATTCAAGAAAAACGAGGCGAGCAGATATAACGCGAGCGACCCAGCACTACCGATATGCATGTATGTGACAATTTAAACCTCGACGCTGTCTTGCTGCTGCTCCTGCTGCTGCTGCTGCTGCTCCTCCTCCTGGCCGTCCGCGTCCTCGTCGGCGTCAGCGCTCATGGTGACGCGGCCCTGGCGGCGGCGCTTGCGGGGTGGCTCGTCTTCGGGCTCGTCCTCAGACTCCGAATCCGCGTCCTGGTGCAAGCGCAGGGGCGGCAGCACGTTGGGCTGCATGATGGTGGTGACCATGTGAACGTTCTGCCGCTTCATGGGGGGGACGCGGGGCACGTTCCTACCGTCCTTTGCACGCACTGCAGCATAAACCCCTTCGGGGGAGATGTTGAGGCTGAGCCAGGGGCCGGAAAACGGGATCTGAAAGAGCGCGTCCCCAACCGTGCCGTCCCCAATTTCGGCAGGGTTAGCCAGGCCTACATGAACCGTCAGGTAAGGGCGATATTGAAGATGCGGCATAAACTCTGACCTATGAGGTGCGACAGAGGGTACCACTCCACCTCATCGCTGAAGTATCTCACGTTGTCGCGGACGTCGGTGTCGATGAGGTTTTTGAGGCTGTAGGAATGGTTACATCGTGTAGGGAGGAAAAATCGATGTGCGTACCTGTTTTCCTCCATCGCGTTGTTGATCATGATGTGGCGATGGTGTTCGATCCCACCGCGCAAGAGTTTACGTATGTCTTTGACGCTGTACGCCCAAGCAACGCCAATGACGCGCATGTCCTGTACGAATGTGAGCGAAGTACCTGGTGTGCGCCGTGATGAAACCACTCACTTCTCCAGGTTGGCCGTGCGTCAAGTTGAGCTTGCCGTTGTCGTCCCAAATCCACGTGACCGAGTAGTCAAGAATGACTGCGACCCACTCCTTACCCCGCTTGGGTGGGGGACCGTCCTGGACTGGGTTCATGTAGACCCTGTGGCAGGTCAGACGTGAAGTGCAGGAATTAGGGGCATGAGACCGTACCAGTCACCCATACGATAAACCGTGCCTTTGAAGTCAAAGCAATGCGTGGTGACACCCCCCAGCCCAGAGAGCCTGCAGGGGGAATGAGCACTCTGTGACTACGGCGGGTCAAGCGGACTTACGCCGTGCGGTGGAGGGTGCGAGTGGCCGTGAGCTGGGAAGCCCACGTGAGGCGAGGTTCACGCCCAATGGATGTGTTATGTGGTTTGATGACACCAGTGAGGAGGAGGGGCGGGTTGCGGCTGGCCTCGTCGTTTATGTACCGGATCTGAGATCGGGATGAAGTCATGGTGAGGGGAGTGGAAGAGGTGCGAGGCGTGATGCGGAAGAAAAAGCGAGGCTATATATATGTATGGGTCGGGCGCTCAATGGCGAAGATAAGGTCGCACGCCTGATCGGATAGAGAACAAAGGATCAATGTGCGCCTAAAACGAGACAATACAGCCGCGGGCGCTCTGGGATGTAATTAAGCTCACGGCGGCGATCTGGGACGCAGATCTCTCCATACGAATGCTGTCCCGTTTCGGCGTGGCCCACATGTGGAGCTTCGGAAGGCTAAAAGGAATTGGTTGCGTAACACGACGGGCGATGCGGAATACCTGGCTGGCGGAAATGCGGACGAAAGTTGGTACAAAGCATACCTGTCGTCCAGCTGGGCGCCTGTATATCTGATAGGTCGATTGTTTAACAGTCAGCCGCATTTCGTGCCGGTCAAAGTAAACTGTGCACCCGCCTTGGTCTTTTGCACGATGTCGTGCAGATCGAAATCGCTCGAGTCGTGAGCTGCGTAAGGTGGGGACGTGTGTGCGCGCAAGTGCGTCCTGTATGACGGGGCACCAGGACATGCGGACATTTAACTTTCGACCAACACAAACGTGCGCACGTAGGCGTCCACCCGGACGAAAGCAATGATTTCTACCGCACTTCGGCCACATTCCTCCTGGCAGACATCCTGTATTGTCCATCGTGTAACGCATGATCTGAGCATTTAGTTGTGATGGGCCAGTAGGCACGTGGGCGCGCTCTGTGAGGCGAGTACTCTTGAGTGGACGCCCCGAGAGGGTAATAGTAACGCACATGTGGTCCAAGGTGACGCCTAATATGCATGATTGATGAGTGGCAGATGTGTCCTTTCATTCCACACATTGGATGACCATGGAGACGGCCTTGACTCCTGTGAGCAAAGGTCGACTTTGTTGTTCTAAACCCCATTCATCCACGAAATTGGTGTCAGCCCGCTGCCGCCACTGCCACTGCAAGGGCTTCGGAATGAGCAAGTGCGGGTACAGCCAAAATGGCCTTGGCAACCGATGCCCATCGGCAACCAGTTCTCTGGCTGTCCAGGATGAAACTGGGGTGCGGGGATCGAGGCTGAGGCTAATGGAGGACGTGCAAAGGCGGGCACGTGGTGTGAGAGGCGTGGTGGGAGGCGGGCTAGGGAACTGCAGCAGTTCCTATGGGCACTGAGCCCCTTTGGGTAGTGGGCTGAGTACGTCTGTCTGGACCATGATGTAAGCGAGTTTAGATCGTGGCTGAAGGGTAACACACACCTCGGATATCCTGCAGCTGTCTGAGTAGCCTGCTCTCATATTCGTGGTGTGCAGTATGCCGAATTCGGCCCTGGAGTCCGATGACCAGGTTTTGAATGGCCGTCTGTAGCTCTGTTCGACTGAGGCTATCATGTATTTCTTGTGCAGAAGGGAGGCGAACGAGGAGACTTGATGTTCGTTTGGTCTTTTGCATGACACTGAAAGCTGGACATCGAGGGGTGCAATCGGGGTGGGCAGAGGCACTCTTGATGTGACGACCGGCATTGTTCTTAGCGAGGACGCCAGCGTGTATGGCAGAAATGCATGTGTGTGGGCAGGCAATGTAGCAGCGACTTGAGACTTCGTACCAGGGGATGGTCACCATTGAAGTGGTATGGGGTTTGGGACAAGTGAGGGAGAGGAGTAAGCCATTGGAGAGCAGATTTTGGGGGTGTCCGATAAGCGACAGACGCCGAATGACAAAGATGAGGGCACGGGCGCTCTACAGAGGACATACCGGGGTGACTGATAAAGCTGTACGACCGTACCAACACATGCTTCAACGATGGTCTCACACAGCAATGTTGACTTGAGGATCTAAACGCTGTGCATTTTTCTTTTTGATACGTGATGATACAGACCACCCTACACCCCGGCCTCTATACTCGTTGTTGGAACGGGTTTCATAGTCCTCTACGTTGGCTGGGCTCTGGGCCTACATCGGGCAGTTCAGTTGGAAGATGAGGTCAGCGCCCGAGTCAGGCTGTTCATAGCTCATAGCCTTGTAAGCCACATGTAATGCTGCAAATAGGGCCCACTCGACGTGAACCAGATATCCGGAAGGAAAACTGCTGATGGTGTTCATCAGCCCACCTCAACATATGTCAAGTTTGTGTGTGTCGTAGAGTTTCCTGAAAGGTGACGTTTTGGGCGAATTCTTCGGTCCGACAGAATACTGTGCTCGGAACAAAGACAATAGAAAATTTCCTTGGGTGACGTCACAGTCATGACTCTTGTGGCATCAAACCCAATCGATGTGACGTCCAGCTCGGGGGTCTGTCCCTATATATTTAGGCTCTGCCAGCTTGCTCCCATCACTTGCCCGCCCCCTTTTGTAGCCAGCATGCCCAGATCTACCCACCATCAGTTGTCAGCCCCGTCCTCCTTTTCTGCTTGGCGATCTGACCCGGCTTCCCAAAACCCGCCCCTCGATTATTCCGGGATTGTGCGCGCTTCTGACACACCAATTGGACAAGAACCTCGCCTGTCGTGGTCATCCCAGCTGCATCAAAATCAGACACTCCGGCGCACCGCGTAGGTCTACCACTCTCTCCTTGTGTTCCAGCTCTCATATCACACTGCAGGCTCACTGGGCTAGGGTCACTCACCAACCAGTGCTTTGAGTTCCAGGGCACCATCTACCGTATGGGTGACTGGTATGTTCCTGTGTCACTCCCCCTCAGGTTGATTCCTGAACTCCCAAAGGGTGTATATGAACCCGCGCCAGAACAGCCCGTGCCCCCCATGGGTGGGCAGTGGCTTGGGGTTGTCATGGACTACTCTGTAAACTGGATCTGGACCGAAGGCCACCAGATTCAGATTACACACGGCCACCCAGGTGAAGTCAGTGTACCATGGGCTTCAACTACAATTCTTCCCGCTCACAGATGTGCAGGTCATGCGTGTCGTTGGGATCTCTTGGACTTACGGCGTCCACGACATTCGACAACTCTTGGTAGGGAAAATTCCGCACCATGAGGAGATTGCGGTCAACAACCCCACAGAGGAAGCCACGTATGGTTTCTGTATCACAGTGTCTTCATGTAGTAACATTTTCACAGTCTGCAAGAACTCCTCAATGGCGATACTTACGCCAACACGCGGTACTTCAGTGATGAAGTGGAGTGGTTCCCACTCACCCAGCTCATGGGTGAGTCCTTGTTGTGAGGTCGCAAAGTTAGATTTCAGCTTAACTGCCAAGAAGGCTTGGCACAGCCTTCCCACGTCATGGACGGTGCAAAGGGGATTGCGTTTTATCAAGTCCCTTTTGAGGGTCCCTGGATCAGCATCAACGTTGGACCAGGTGTTGTTCGTCGACAAAATGGTGAAAACAAGCCTCGCCATCCCCTGGTGAAGAGGGAGGCACTTCACATTGTGACTGTCATCATGCGGCCCAATGTGAAGGCACCTCAGCGCCTCCACGACCCACAAGGGGGATCAGGTACAGGCTTGCCCCTACATCTAGTTCCCCCTGCAGATCGACCATTGCATATGTGTTACCGTGTGGCATACTTGGATGAGCAGGACGAGGACGAGGACGAGGACGAGGATGAGGAGGAGGAGGAGGAGGAGAGGAGAGGAGGAGGACGAGGAGGAGGAGGAGGAGGAGGAGGAGGATGACGACAACAACAACAACGATGACGATATGCCCAGTATTGAGGGCAGCAATGACGAAGGTGACCCTCAAGATGAACCACAGCAGAGTAAGGAGGAAGATGAGCCCATGGGCGACGTCACTGGGAGTGAGGGTGGCATGGACATGTAGTGTTGGGATGCGTGTTGTGTTAACATCATATATAGCATATTTGACCGGTCACATCAGAGTTTGGCTGTGTGGAACTTCAGTGACCTGTGTGTAACCTTCTATCAGCAGGTCTGTAGAGTGTACATTGTGGCAGAAAAGATGTTGATGAATCACAGGGCTCCATTAAAAGCAGACATCAGCGGGTGAGCCCTGCAAGGATGCAAACACGTGCCACATATTGAATATAATCCAAAGCATCTCAACAAAATAGCTACTCAGTGCTCTCCAACTCGAGGAATCTGTTCTCCATGACAGGGCGGACGGAGCCGTATATACTAAACCAATCAGGTCCTTGCAGGCTGGCTTCATTTGGAAGCGTGTGGCCAGCCAGGTGTGCCTCATGGACAAAGTCGGCATAGACCAACTGTGGGTTAACCCAGGGAGGCAACACAACCACCAGGTCTCGGGGGTCTATCAATGCTCGGAACCGACACCCACTCCTCCTCCCAACAGCCTCCATGCCCTCATAAAGCAGCCACCCGATGACCATAGTTCTGCTCTGGAGCACCTGAGCGATCGCTGTGAGTTCCCCTTTGCAGTCGTTGTCTGGCAATGCTTGGATGGCGTCCTTCCAGGTGTCGATCTCCTTTTGGTCCGAGGTGTCGAACCCTAACATCTCCGGCTGGAATTCCTCTGCCCATTCGTGTTCCATGACCAAACCCCAGTACTTGATCCCTTGTGGTTGGAGGGGTCGACGTGGCCGGGGGTTGGAGTTGTGGTCAAAAACGATGTACAGTGCAACCTTGGTGAAGAGGTCCAGCACTTCCTCCAGTCTAGTCTCGAAGCTGGCCTTTTCTATGTGGTGGTGGTAACAATTGGGCCAAGAGGTGGTGTCGGAGCATTTGACAGAGTGATGGTTGTGTTCGAGTGGGGATATGCACAGCAGGGCTCTTTCAAAATCTTGCAAGAGGATGAATGAAGGGGGCGGATACCAGTGAGGGGTTAACCTGTCCGCCTCTTTGGCCAGATGCATGTGGCGGTCCCAAAGTGCAATCCGTAGGTGTCCAATGAGATAAAGTTGGCCCGTGTGATCGGTCTGTATGGCACCCAATCGTTTCAGGGTCGGGAACTTGAGCGTGCACAGGGCGCAGGTGGTAAGATTGCCCCATGGGACTTTTGAGTGGAAGGGGTGAGGCACTGAGAAGAGGGGGAGTGGCAAGCTTCCTTCAGGCATGGTATTGTGTCTGAGAAAGAACGGACGTGGTCAGCCTTGAAGAGATGTGGTGGGTGTGGTACTGGTGCACCTGATAAAAAGGCTCTGTTACGCTGTCATATATATCAATCATTGAACAGGACTCCACAGCATCCTCTGCACTCACTGTTTTAAAAAAGATGTGAAGTAGCAGGCGGTAGCACAATAATGAGGTTGAGGAGAAAGGATTGTGGGAAAGAACTCCAGAGCATTATATATCCGTGATGTCAAATATTGTGATGTCACCCTAGGAAAAATCCTGCCTATGCACAGCCTTCAGTCACGTCACGTCAGGAAATTTCCTGGCTCTGCACAGCCACCATGTGAGGGCACTTCCAACGCAACATGCCCAAACATCTGTCTGCTATGAGGCACGTACTGTGTGGAGCTCAACATCATCCACAGTACAATCATCTTTTAAGGACCCAGTGACACCTCGAGTGTGGGACATAGGGTAAGGAGTTTTTGAGCAGGGAGGGAGGGTTAGATGTCACAGGCTGGAGAGAGACAGCAGGAGGAATACAGCACACAATTTTGTCAAATTAGACACAGTCAAGTCCAAGCTAGCTGTGTAACAGAATGAAGTCCAGCTTAGCCGTGATTGTCACACTTAGTGACGTCACCCTAGGAAATTTCCCGGCTCTGCACTGCCACCTCGGGTGGCATCATGTGGTAGTGGTGGTCACTAAGCACCGATCTCACTGGGCCTCCTTATGGTGGCATGCAGATGGGTATTGTCAGCTCAAACGAGGGCTTTCCCATGTAGAGAGTAAGCAGATCAGAAGAACCAAGCGTTGCCTATGGCGCACCAACATGGCATCTGAAACAGTTACGTTGCGCCAATCTGTTTGAGAAGGGATCTATCACAGGAGCTACAAGATATAAACTATATCAAAGGAGCCGTCCTAACCCGACTCACCTGCATCACCTCGTCAACTCTCTCGGGCTCGGGATGCCAGCGTCTGTGTCATCGGCTATTTCGGCTATCTGACTATCTCGCGTATCACTGCAAGCGACGTACCCGGCTTACTAACACCACATGCCCCCATCTTTAAATAACAAATCCAAGCTTCTTTCTCTCACACCATCACATCTCGCCAGCGCATCACTCTATCCGGGCTTCGAGGCTATCACGACTCTAAACCACTAATTCTTTGATTGCTCTGCTCTCCACATGGCTCTCCAACAGACTGTAGGTCTGTATCCAACCCTCTTCTACACTCAAACATCCTGCTCACTAACTGGGCACTCCCCCCTAGACCTAAGTGGTTTCAAGAACCTCCCCACTGATATCAGCAAGTGCAAAGACGCTGTCCGTCGTGCCTTGGAATCTGTACAGTTCCCGGACTTCAACACATATCAGACCATCTTCAATGCTCTCTCCCCCCAGTCCTATTTAGCGGATGTGACACTCATCAAGGCCCACCCTCACCAGCGTCCAATCAACCACAAGCACCTGGATAATCTCAGCCTTGCGCTGCGTGTCGACATGAGAATGAGTCACCAAGCACCTATAATTGTGCCCTACCCTGTGTGGCGAGAAAAAAGAGACTTGATGAATGCTACATCAGATCCAAATCAGTTACCTCGCCTGAACCTCTCACTTGGTAGTGACACTCTCCCCATGTCGTTCTCACATGGTCACCGGTCGGTCTGATCACACAACCTTACTAATCACCCCACTGACTATGGATTCTCCCTAGTTTCCAAATTCTGAAGAACATCCCTTCTATGGGAGATCACTCTCAAACTCTTCAGCGGATCTATGGATCACCCCCGATGTGGGTGGTTAAGATCATCCCAGATTGTAAGAAGCTAGACCCCTCAGGCTTTGAAATACACTCATTCCACATGACAGTCTTGCTGGACATCATCCCCTCCCACGTCTGGCACACAATCATGTACCTCGACAACAAGGTGGATCACCTACAGAGCCCCCTGACAGGTGCACAAATGATGGTCGCGTTCATAAGTGCACTCGCTACGTTGCGTGATCACTTGTATCACCCTCTGCGCAATGACTTCCTTCAACGCTATCAAACACACAGCCTGAACCTCACCAATCTTAGCACTCTCTACAAGCGGACGAAGGCTGACCACTTTGGTGGTTCTGGAAACACCATCAAGGGGGAGAGGTGTCTGTCCCACCCCATTCTCATGCAGGCCTTGATTGATGGCTTGGAAGTGCCTTATCTTCATGACAACCTGCCTACAACTGTGTTCATGAGCTTGAACAATTCTCGGTGTTGGGTGAGCCTCACGTGTTCCAGCTACCTCATGACATTCTCATTTAATATTACAGCCCACATCTCGATACCTACATCATGCGGCAGCCCAAGTAGAGCTCCTGAAGGACTTTCCATCAAGAATCTGCTTTGAGATGCTGCCCAACCCCACACGATCCAACTCCAACAGACCTAAGCCCACAACTGTGAACACACTGCAGGATATTAGGGAAGCAGTACAGAGTGGGAAGGCCTTCCACCACCTTGTGCTCCACCACTCAGAGTTCAAAGAGGCACATACCGCTTCTGAGGTGACATTGGAAACATTGTGGCCAACCTCTGTGCCACCCCTCGTGGACCCAAAGAAACCTGTGAGCTTTCCCACTGTGCTTTGATGTCACTGCTCAAGTCTATTGTAGCAACTTCTCTGGCAAACAATTTTCGGCAAAAGTGGTGGTGTTTGCAGAGATCTTCTTGTCAGATTGGGTTATGCTCTCTCTCCAGTGAGTCCCTTGTCATCTCACCGTTGATATGTAAATCTCATCTGTGGGGACAGCTGTCCTATGCTTTTGTGGGGAGTGATTGGCTGAATGCTGTTGCCAACATGCATTACACAACTTTCCATCAACCTGCCAGCGCGTTCGGCCAGTACTCCTGGTGGTGCTCACCAGATGGACACGCACTGGCCTTTCTGCAGGCTGTCTCAGGCTCACGAAACTTGGCCAGCCAAGGGACTCAGCGCTGTCACCCCACAATGCTCCCCTTAAAAGAGTACTCTCTGTGGCAACTGTACCAGACTGCAGCAAAACAGGACTTGGCTAGGCTTGATAAGGTACATTGTTTTGAAGCCTTTTCTAAACCCTTTTTACTTACACTTTCTGTGCTGCTTTAGGTGGCAGATCATTTCCTCTTGCATGCCAAGGATTTCATCAACATCTATGAAGTTGTGTGCAAAGCCCATTCCACAAGGGACATGGTGGTTGAACCCTTCAAGTATCAAATCTTCCCTCAAGCCTTGAACTGCCCCAGCAACATGATGAGGGAAGAGTTCCAGGTTGTTGGCCCACTGCCACAAGAACAGAAGTTTGTCACAGAGCAGCGGTATCACAACTGCTTGCAAGCCCTGTTCGCAGAAGACTTGTGGCAAGAGGCCTTCCAGATTCTCGAGCTCCCAGAGGTCTTCAAGGATGTCACAGGAAATCTTCCATTCTCACCTCTGCCCAAGTCCTGCTTCTGTCCACCCTCCCCCCACATTTCTCCACCCTCCCACCACATTTCTCCACCACTCGTTGAAGCGTCTCCATCTCCTATTCCCGCACCCTTTACAGATGAAGACCCAAACCTGCTCCAAACTTTGGATTCAGAGGAAGTTATACAGGCCTTCGGTCGTGCATATCACCCCCCTTCCAATGATCTAGAGCCAGCTCTCTTCCATGAGCAGTCCCCTATGCAGCCTAGCCTCAATTCTGGGGCCCAAAGCAGTGACGATGAAGAAATTCCTGTCAATAATGAAGTCCAAGATCATTCCAAGGATGATGGCGCTGTAGATCACCCTCAGCTGGTTGGCACCATCACTCCCACCAATGTCACTCCTTCTGTGCCAAATCGCCGGCGTCGACGAGGGTCACCTGTGTCTAGATCTTCCTCACACTCATCTGAAGGCCCACATGAGGGTGAAAACTCACCCACCTCCCCCATTCTTCCTGTGCACAAGAGGCGACGCACTGCTACCATCATCAGGATGCACCACAGATCGACAGTTGCCCCTTCTCCAGTGGGCTCCCCCCAATATTTGCAATCTGGCAATGATGATATGGCAGATGCGGCAAATGAGCTGGAAGAGCAAGTGTTGGGCCATTCTCAAAGCGCCACATCCTTGCAGGAAGGCATGGATGAAGTCACATCTTCACAGTTTCGGGGGTACTTGTCAGACGTAAGCCTGCCCTGCACCTACACCAAACTGCCCTAATCTTTCTACCAGATGATGTCGCCTCAACCAAGCGCAATGGGTGCTGTGCCAGATGTACAACAGCCAGAAGAACCAGGCACGCCGCCTGTTGACCCATTCTCCGATGAGTGGGAAGCACTCCCAAGTCATGATCGCCACATTCACATTCTGAACGCAATCCACACTTTCGCCCCTGAAGATCAGATTGGAGTAGAGCGGGCCTTATTTGCTGCATTGGATTTGGCTTACAGGGTCATAAGTAATGAACACCCTGACACAGCTGCTGATATGATCTTGGGCCTGGCTCACAACAACAACAGCCAGGTGAGAGATGAGGGCAGAGTGGTGGACTATGACACTGGTTCTAGTAGTGATTAGAGAGGGACTTTTGTACACTAAGTAATATGGGCTTATGGTGAATGGTGATTTCATGTGTTGAAACCAATGAGCTTGGGACTTGAACGTGCAATCATAGCTGGTGGAGGAGTGATGCAAAATGCTTAGATCAGTGACCACAAGAAAGATGGGCACAGACACACACCAGCCAGATCTGTGGATTCTAGATGCTTTGAACAGCTACTAACACCTGACAGGGTTGTTGGCCTGGCTTTGGGAAATACACCCTTTATAGAGAGGCCTCCCTTGAGGCTGTCTGGGTAGGCCCTCCACCACTTGAGTCTGTCCCACCATCTAAACAGTGTGACTTGCATGATGCTTCTGTCCATCTGGTATGTTCATCCAGCTTGGGAAGACTGGAGCACCAACGCATGTACATGACCCAGCTCCACAGAAGGCAGGGAACAGTGACTGTTCAAGTACCCTAGGCCGGCCTGCGTCCCATTCGGTAAGTCAATCAACACATTCTTAGAGTGTGGCACCCTGCACTCAAAGCAAGCTGGGCACACTGCACGGCATGTGTGATCGAACATGCCAACTCGAAAGGTTCTCTGGGTTATAGGGATAAAATCCTTGACATGGCACAGTGCACAAGAGGTCCGAGATAAGCCAGCTGCACACCGTGGCACCAGGTTGCTAGTCCTTCCACTGACTATGTGCGGCTTGTGTAGCATTCCGGTGGGCGATGCCGACAATCCAGTCGTGCAGCTGGGGGTCTCTCCAAGAACAGACTGTACCAGGGGAATAAGGAACCTGGAACACACTCGCACATCATCATCCATTCACAAGGTCTTCACACACAAGTTGCGGACTCGCTACGCTCGCTCCCTCCCCCCCAACCCCCCAAGGGGGGCTATTTTCACGTACTAAATCTCCTTCATGCACATGCTTATCATGTTACGTCGGGCTCCCCTAACCTACCTAACCTCTAAGAGAACCTAACGGTCCACGTGTCTAATCCTCGCAGTGTCCACATGATGAAACTGAGTTACGTGCTTCGGTCATTCTATTTAAATCAGTAAATCATAGGCACAGAACCGCACAACAACATGTGTAGATTGGTGGGTATGCCAAGTTTCTAGTCGACGGTGACCGACGTTTTGAACAGTGGGTGCGATACCACATTGTACGTTCATAAGCACCCCACACAGAGAGATTAAGCCAAATACACACCTCTGTTCCAAGTGCAGGACCACACGTCAGCGTCGATCAGTAAACGTGCCTGGTCGCAAGGGATCTTAAACAGTGGACACATTATCTGTAAATCCTCGATGTACCGTCACACATAACACAAGGCGAAATTGGAGACGACTGTGCACATAAATCAAAGTGGGGTGTGACTCGTCTTCCTTGGTCACCAGGATCGACGACTTGAAAGCCTCACTGTGGCTAATACTCAAGACACTCTAATGCGAACCGTACCAGCAGACTGAAGCTGACTGCAATGCGCACTTAGATAGAGCGAATGATTTGCCATGACTTTAAAAGGGTCCTCAGTGTGGTACCAGGGCCGCTTTGAGCATGGACTGTACTAGAAACACAGGATTCACTTACAACAATGAACCAACGTGCTAGCTTTCGTGTGAGAGCGCTGGTCACAGCTGTGACATCACAGCAGGAAATTTCCTGGGTCAGCACAGCCACCTGCCCACCTGAAGCTGAGTTGTGCCAAGCACCGTAAGGTACGATTGAGGTGCTACAAACAAGGTTGGGATGGGACACACATTACATAGAAACATGTGACACTCTGTGCACCACACCACATGATGTTAGCAGCACACCCCATATAGATACGCTCCCTGGGAGCTGTCAGGTGATATGGGATGGGCTTGATAGAGGCATAAGAATGAGCACGTGGCTAACCACAAAACAGCTCGGTAGAGATGCATAGTGCTGACGACCAGCTCAGAGTGTCGCTCATGTTTGTGATAATGGTTATCGGTTACGGCATGTGCAAAAAGATTTCAGGATTTTAGGTCATTTCAAGAAACGGGAGCTCCTCCCGTATGTGCTGTCTAAATTGACCGCTGCCTGTCACATGTTTACATGTGCAGGTGAAGCCAGTTTAGAGCTAACGCACTGTTACAACTCGTTGGCAAGGGGTGCATATGCATCTGTCGCTTCCAGGATTCGAACCCCAGACCACAGCAGATACAAAGACGGGCCTTAGCCACTAAGCCATAATGGTTGGTGTACAGTGATGACTGACGCAACCCATAAGCCACATTATGAGAGGATTCCGAGCTTTGTTCTTACGCTTCAATCGCAAGGCCCAGGTTTTCAAACTATGGTCACAAAAACTTCCAACGTCAGTGTCTCTAAGGGGCACAGCAGCCCCACACAGCTTTCATCCTCATGTTTGGGCTGCTCACCCACAGTTCTAGTACAAGCGCCAACGCACGCACCCGACCCTCAAGCCTAACTATGAACACGAAACTTGACAATGAGGTGATGCTGGTCAACAAGTCACCACGGTGTTTGGTTGCTACCTGGAGGAGGGGCCACACCTGGACTTCCAATCACCTTACGGTCTTTGGAAACGCAACGACATGCGAAACCAGGGTCGAGACAGGCGTGGTTCAGGGCCGTCCATCAGACCGTACCCACAGAGGGGTTAGACAGGCGACGCAAGCCAGAGCTTGACAGACGGCCTACATGCCTGGAATGGGCTCGTCGATGGGAAGCGTACCGATGCCCACCAAACTTGGCACAGAGGACCCAGGACAGAACCCTTGGGTGCTGGGGTGGTCATCAGGCCGCCACAGTCGCTGGTCGTTGCCTGGAAGAGGGTCCACACCTGGACCGCCAGCCGGTCGAACGACGCATTGTCGGCCCTGGAAGGAGGAAAACATGCGAAACCTGGGTCGATCTTGAGACCGCAGGTGGCCACGATTCTCAGCTTTCCGGCGCACCAGGTTGCAGGAGGAACGGAGCACAGGCCGAGGAGGTACGGCCCAGACGAGCGAGGGAACGGTCGGAACCCGAGCACCCTAGTTGGGTGGCGTCGAGGGCCACAGCGACGACGAGCGCACCGACGGCCACGAAACTCGGCAGAGGGCCGTTAGGAAAGGATTCATGGGTGCTGAGGTCGTCAGCCTGGTGCCAGGCTGGCTCATCGTCGCTGGGTAGGGGGTCGCTCCCAGGATGCTCCATCCTGGGGGGATAAGAAACATAGGCAGGGACCGGGCGATGCAGGAGGATCGGAGCAGACAAGTCAGACGTACACAAAGTCTGCCATCTCCGACCCAATTCTCCTCCGATCTCTACGGCCAAGAGCGCGTTCGAAAGCGTTTGAAGACCCGCATCCAATGATCCCAGCCGCACCTTCTACGGCCCGAGTTGGGCGAGATCGACCACCAGGAAGAGGCGAAGGCGTGCTGGCCGTGGGCGCTGTTGTACACCGCACACGAGCGAACGAGTCCGGCGGCCGTGACGGTAGCGAGCGCGATCGAAACACGTTGACCAGGGCTATCAACGCTCCAACTTGCAGCGCGATCGGAGCTGAAATGGTGGGGTGGCGCATCGAGTTCATGCCTGAGGATGCCTGGAAGCGGCAGGGATATGGAAGCGGCTGCCGCGGGTGAACGGCCGCGCGTCTTGGCGGCGGTAAGGGCGCATTCAATGCAAGATGACGAGGGGGAAAGACGTACCAGATCGCGTGCGGAACGGACGAGAGACTCCGCCGTGGCGGTCAAAATCGCCAGAATCCAGGAGGGTGCAGATGGTGTGGACGGCGATGATGTGGCGACTGTATCGAGCGAGGGACCAGGCGTACCTGCACGCGCGAAGGTGAGTCTGAAAGGCCTTGACTATGGTAAGAGAACGAACCCAGCCGCGTCGCAAACGGGCTCGCCGATACCGTTGGGGGATGAGGGCATGAAGTTGGCGGCATGAGGGGCGCTCTTCTGTCGCAGAAGACGACGCGCAGTGGTACAACAGTCGAACAGATGATGTGACGGGATGGCTCATTGGAAAGAGGGGAGATGCATGCACAAAAAAAGCCCGCACGGGCGTCGAACGGGGAAGAACTCGTGGAGGGACGGGGTGGCAGTCGGCTAGAGGGTGACCTGTGTCCAGGGCGGCAGTGATCGCTACGTAGGTCGACGACAACGGCACGCCCCACGGCGTGGAGGGACGCGTTTGAAAGCCGCCAACAACGCGCATACAACGAGTCCGGATGGGCTGAAATTGGCCGTGCCGTCACGGAGGAATAGGGTAGGAGATGTCGGGATGTGGAGGAGGAGGACAGCGTCTTCGACCGCAACGTCCTGGAGCGTCCAGCCGCGTGAATTTGTCGCGCTGGGCACGATAGAGCGGGGGAAATGAGGACTTTCGAGCGCAACAAGAACGAAGAGCGTACCATAAAAACCAGCGGAGATACATCAAAGTCTTCCATCCCCTAGCCTCCCTGGGTGAATCTTCGCGTGCTCGGACCGTTAAGTGGCGAGTTTGTGGCACATCGACATGTGAGGGGTATCGATAGAGAGGGGGAAATAAGACGGATCGAACGACACCGAGATCGCGATGAACGGACGGCGGGAAGGGGATGGATGGCACGAGGAGTGGGTGGGTATACCTCTGACTGCCCAGCTGGATTGTGCGCGGGCATCCGCGCGCATTCCCACGTCATCTTGGCGAGTGCGCGAACCATCGCGCACATGGAACGTGAGTATTTGCACAGTATAGTTGTCATTTGCGCGATGCTTCGCGCACATCATCATAGACGGTGTCTCGAATGTGCACAATGATTCGCGCACATATCAGCGGACGCAACGTCCAATGTGCGCGATGGATCGCAGACATATCAGCGGACGCAATGTCCAATGTGCGCGATGGATCGCAGACATGTGAGACACTGCCAACAATCATGTGCCCGAACCATTGTGCACATTACAACTATGCTCCATGTGCGCGATGGATCGCAGACACTGTCTACGGATGTGTGCGAACCATCGCGCACATGGCAACTATGCTGTGTGAGACACCCACAGTCCATGTGCGCGATGGTTCGCGCCCTTTTGGGTGGGCGCTAGTTCTACCCCTCATGCAGCTCTTACCCTCCAGACCTAAAAAAAGGCCTCTCTTATGCAAACCGGATGCAGAGCGAGCGAAATGCGAGGGCAGGACCGGGGAACGCAGGAGGACGGGAGGAGACAAGTTGGACATACATAAGGACTGGAATCTCTGACGCAAATATCCACCGATCTTTACGGCCAAGGGTGCCTTCAAAAGTGTTTGACGACGCGAATCGAATGATACCGGACGCATCCTCTATGACAATGATGTGGGTGAGGTCCAGCACCAGGAAGAGGGGAAGACGGTGCTGGCTGTGGGCGCTCTTGCGCAGCGCACAGCGGGCGAATGAGTGCGCTAGGCGAGATGGTGGGGAGCGCGATCGAAAGGCGTTGACGAGAGCTATCAACGCCCCAACTTGCAGCGCAATCGGAGCGGAACTGGTGCGACGGCGCGTCCAGTTCATGCCCCAGGGTCGCTGGAAGCGGCAGGGAGACGGAAGCGGCTGCCGCAGGTGAACGGTAGCGCATCTTGGCGGCGGTAAGGGCGCGTTCAATGCAGCGTGAAGAAGGAGGAGGACGTACCAAGTCGTGTTTGGAACGGATGGAAGTCCCAGCCGTGGTGGTCCAAATCGCCAGGTTCGAGGAGGTGGAGGGGCGATGATGTGGTGGCTGTCGCAAATGAAGGGCTGGTCGTGCCGGCGTGCGTGAACGTGCGTCAGAAAGCCCTTGAAGATGGTAAGAGAACGGACCTGGCCGCGTCGCAAACGTACTCCGAACCGTCAGGGGACGGGAGCAGCAAGTCACAACGCACTGAGCCCTCTTCTGTCGCAGAAAGGGATGCGCAGCGGGACGACGGCATGGCGGATCGTGTGGCGAGGTGACTCGTAGGAAAGATGGGGGAAATGCGCACAAAATAGGCCTGGGAGGGTGTCGAATGGAGGAGCACTCTTGGAGGGACGGGGAGACATTCAGCTGGAGGGGAAGGTGGGGGAGCGCGAAGATCCGAGCGACGTTGGGGAAGCATATTTGCGCCTATTGCGATGTAAAAGCACTCACCAAGAAGCCAAAGACGACAGCTTTGAAGCAGTGACTGGTGTGTGGCGAAATGAGTCCGGGTCGGCGCAAAGGCGAAGCCCGAGACTATGGAGCGACCTCTGTGTCGAGGGCGGCAGTGATCACAACGTAGGGCGACGACGATGGCACGCCCCACGACGCGGAGGGGCGCGTTTGAAAGTCACTGACTACGCGCACAGAACGATCCCGGCCGCGCAAGAATCGGCCGTGGCGTCGCGGACCAATGAGGTGGGAGATGGTGGTCTGAAGAGGAAGAGGACAACGTCTTCGACCACAACGTCCCTAGGCGTCCTGGGGCGGAACACCGTCGCGCTTGGCACTATAGAAAGGGGGAAATAAAGGCTTTGAAGCGCAACAAGAACGAAGAACGTACCATGAAAACTGGCGGAGATACGTCAAGTTCTTCCCTTCCCTAGACTCCCTGGGCGACTGTTCACGTGCTCGGACGATTGTGGGGTGAGTTCGGGGCGTATCGACGTGCGAAGGGACTCGACTGAGATAGGGAAGCAATGCTGATAAAAAGATACTAGGATCAGGGAGAACGGACGATGGGAAGGGGATGTCGGATGGCATGAGGAGGACATACCTCTGACTGCCAATCACTTGGATTATGCGCGGGCATCCGCGCGCATTCCCACGTCTTCTCGGCGGCACCTTACATACATACTATACGCGTGGACGTCCACACAGCATGTAGGCTCTTGTGCAGGCTCACGAAATGCGCGGATGTCCGCGCATCCGGTGCGTGAGCTCTCTGTCTCTCTTGTGGACATGTGGATGTTTGTGCTTCCTGCATGCTGTGTCATCCAACGCGCGCGGATGCCCGCCCATCCAGTACGTGTGGACAGAGGCCACATACCCTTCTTGGTGGTACCTCAGCGCGCGGATGTCTGCGCGTGCGGCGTCTGGGCTCCTACGTATGATGGATGGCGCGGGACATGAGAGTGTCTGCGCATTGAACGTCCGCCTGCCTGCCTCTGTGTGCGGACGTCCGCGCATTCAACCTCCTGTCCCACGCCTTCTGTCCCTCTGTGTGCAGACTTTCACGTATTGGACGTCTGCCCCACCTCCCTCTGTGCGCGGACATCCGGACGCTGAATATCCCCTCCCTGCCTCTGTCGTTGTATGTGCGGACATTCGCGCGAGAAGTGCACAGCATCTCCACCATTGTCCGAGACACTACACACGGACGTCCGCATGAATAGTTTCCATACTCCAGACTGGCTCACTCTTGGTACGCACAGACCTCAATTGATTCTAAAATCTATACTAATATATCGTGATATATGACAGTGTTCCTCTTCGCGCGGACACCCGCACATTGGCGGAGTTGGGCACATGTAGTGGAGGAACTCAGCGCAGTAGGTGGGATGGAGAACACCTCGCCGATTGTCGGGGAGAGCACAGATTGTAACATGTGAGGCGGCGTTCAAACGAGGAGTTCAACGCGCACCTGTGTGCCAAATCGCGTGCAAACCGGACACAGAGCGGGCAAGATGCGAGGGCAGGACCGGGGGACGCAGGAGGATGGGAGGAGACAAGTCGGACGTACATAGATTCTGGCATCCCCGATGCAATTCTCCACCGATCTCTACAGCCAAGCGCGCGTTCGAAAGCGTTCAACGACGCGCATCCAATGATCCCGGCCGCGTCGTCTAAGGTGGCCAGGTGGGCGAGATCGAGGTCCAGAAAGAGGGGAAGGGAGCGCCAGCCGCGGCCGCTCTTGCACAGCGCACAGCGAGCGAATGGTTGCGGTTGGCGAGACGGTGGGGAACGCGATCGAAAGGCGTTGACGAGGGCTATCAACGCCCCAACTTGCAGCGCAATCGGAGTGGAAATGGCGGGGCGGTACATCGAGTTCATCCCTGAGGGTGGCTTGAGGCGGTAGGGAGATGGAGTCGATCGCCACCGGTGAACGGCTGCACATCTTGGCGCCGGTAAGGGCGTGTTCAATGCAGTATGATCACGGAATAAGACGCACCAAAACGCGTACGGAACGGATGGGAGACTCGGCCGTCGTCGTCAAAATCGCCAGGGTTGAGGAGGGTGAAGATAGTGTAGAGGGGCGATGATGTGGCGGCTGTCGCCAACGAGAGGCTCAGCGTACCGGCGCGCGAAAAGGTGCGTCTGAAAGGCCTTGACTATCGTAAGAGAACGAACCTGGCCGCGTCGCAAACGGGCTCCGAACCGTCGGGGACGAGGGCATCAAGTTGGCAGTGGGATGGGTGGTCTTCTGTCGCAGAAGACGACGTGCAGCGAGACGATGGCGGGGCAGATCTCAGCACGGAGCGGCTCGTAAGAAAGCGGGGAAATACGCGCACAAAATAAGCCCGAACGGGCGTCCAACGGGTGAGAACTCGTGGCGGGACGGGGTGGCAGTTGGCCAGAGGGTGACCTCTGTGTCGAGGGCGGCAGTGATGGAGACGTAGGTCGACGGCGACGGCACGCTCCACGACGCGGAGGGGCGCGTTTGAAAGCCACTGATGACGCGCACAGAACGATCCCGGCCGTGCAAGAATCGGCCGCGGCGTCGCGGACCAATGTGGTGGGAGATGTCGGGATGAGGAGGAGGAGGACAGCGTCTTCGACCGCAAAGTCCCTGGGCGTCCTGCAGCGGAAATCCGCCGCGCTGGGCAAGATGGAACGGGGGAAACGAGGGTGTTCGAACGCAACAAGAACAAAGAGCTTACCATGAAAACTGGCAGAGATACGTCAAGGTCTTCCCTAGCCTGGGCTCCCTAGGCTCCCTCTCGTGTGCTCGTACGACCATGTAGCGAGTTTGGGGTGTATTGACGCGCGAAGGGCATTGATAGGAAGGGTGAGCAGGACAGATCAAACGATACTAAGATCATGGCGAACGGACGGCAGGAAGGGGATGGATGGCGTGAGGAGTGTGTGGATATACCTCTGACTGTCCAGCTGGATTATGCGCGGGTGGCATCCGCGCGCATTCCCACGTCGTCTCGGTGGCGCGGACGTCCGCGCGCACAGCGTGACGCGTGAAGGCTCTCCTGTGGTCTCTCAAAACGCGCGGACACCCGCGCATCTAGCATGTATGGACATACCGGTTTGGACCCACCACACTTCCTTCTCGGAGGCATCTGCCTACATGCGCGGATCTCCGCGCGTCGAACGCTCGGCCGTACATAGGCGCTGGGTGCGCGGACATCCGCGTATTGAACACTCAGCATACAGCGTACGTCGTTGGGTGCTCGGGTGTCCGCGCATTGAACACACAGCTGTATATTGTTGGATGCACGGACGTCCTCATGTTGAATGCTGCTCAGCCATAAGTTGTTAGGTGTGCGGGTGTCCGCGCATTTAACAGTCTGCCAGGCTTCATAGTACATGTACAAACATAGTATATGACTTTGTCCTTCTGCGCGTGGACATCCGTGCACTTTGCCAAAGGCCTCTGAGGCACCGAGCGTTTAACCCGGATTAGTTGGCCGAAACACCCCTTCTATGTCCGCGCGTTGAAGGATGGTCCTTGTACAGGTGTATGTCCTCGCAAGCAACAGCGTCCTTGTACGGGCTGACACCCGCGCGTCGAAGGACTGACCCCGTACGGGCGGACGTCCGAGCGCGCAGCCTCTGTGATCTCTGACCATCATTCAACTTAGGCAGATACTGATATTGGCACATCTACTAATTCAAACAAATCTACTATATGGACTCAGCGCAGCAGGTGGGATGGAAAATACTTTGCCGATTGTCGGGGAGAGCGCAGATTATCGCGCCTGGGGCGCCGTTCAAACGAGGGGTTCAACGCGCACTCGTGTGCCAAATCATGTGCAAACCGGACACAGAGCGAGCGAGATGTGAGTGCAGGACCGGGGGACGCAGGAGGACGGGAGGAGACAAGTTGGACGTACATAAAGTCTGGCATCTCCGACGCAAATCTCCACCGATCTTTACGGCCAAGCGCGCGTTCGAAAGTGTTTGACGACGCGAATCGAATGATACCGGACGCATCTTTTACGGCGACGATGTGGGCGAGATCGAGCACCAGGAAGAGGGGAAGAGGGTGCTGACTGTGGGCGCTCTTCCACAGCGCACAACGGGCGAATGGTTGTGGTTGGCGAGACGGTGGGGGGCGCGATCGAAAGGGGTTGACGAGGGCTATCAACGCCCCAACTTGCTGCGCAATCGGAGGGTAACTGGTGGGGTGGCGCATCGAGTTCATGGCTTGAGGCGGTACGGAGATGGAAGCGGCTGCCACGGGTGAACAGATGCACGTCTTCGCGGCGGCAAGGACGCGTTCAATGTGAGATGAAGAGAGGGGGAAGACGTGCCAGATGTCGTGCGGAACGGTTGGGAAACTCAGCCGTCGCAGTCGAAATTGCCTGAGTCGAGGAGGTTGCAGATGGTGTGAAGAGGCGGTGATGTGGCGGCTGTCGCGAACGAAGGGCTGGGCGCACCGGCGCGCGTGAAGGTGCGTCAGAAAGGCCCCGAAAATGGTAACAGAAAGAACTCACCCGTGTAGCAAACGAGCTTCGAACCATCGAGAAACGGGAGCATGAAGTTGGCAGCGGGATGGGCGCTCTTGCGTCGCAGAAGACGACGTGCAGCGGGTCCATGGTGGGGCGGATCTCAGCACGGAGCGACTCGTAAGAAAGAAGAAAAGAATACGCACAAAACAAGCCCCGACGGGCGTCCAACGGGTGAGAACTCGTGGTGGGACGGGGTGGTAGTTGGCTGGAGGGTAATCCATGTGTCGAGGGCAGCAGTGATCGCAACGTAGGTCGACGACGACGGCACGCTCTACGACGCGGAGGGGCGCGTTTGAAAGCCACGGCCCACAAATAACGCGCATAAAAAGAGCCCAGCCGCGCGGAAATCGGCCGTGGCGTCACAGACCAATTTGGTGGGAGATGTCGGGATCCGGGGGAGGAGGGGGACTGCGTCTTCAAGCGCAAGATCCCGGGGCGTCCAGCGGCGTAAATCGTTCGTGCATGGCACTATACAAGGGGGGAACGAGCGTGTTCGAGCGCAACAAGAACGAAGAGCTTACCGTGAAAACTGGCGGAGATACATCGAGGTCTTTCCTAGCCTGGGCTCCCTGGGCTCCCTCTCGTGTGCTCGGACGACCATGTGGCGAGTTTGGGGTGTATCGACGTGCGAAGGGCCTTGATAGAAAGGGGGAGCACAAGAGATCAAACGATACTAAGATCATGGCGAACGGACGGCAGGAAGGGGATGGATGGCGTGAGGAGCATGTGACTGCCAACTTGGAGTATGCTTGGGCATACGCACGCATTTCCCACGTCGTCTCGGCTACACCTTGCTTTACACGCGGACGTCCGCGCGCACAGCGTGAAGGCTCTGCCGCAGTCTTTCCCAACGTGCGGACACCCGCGCATCTAGCGTGTGCAGGCATACGTGTTCGGACTCCTCACACTCCCTTCTCATAGGCAACTGCCTCCATGCGCGGATGTCCGCACGTCGAATGCCCAGTTGTACATATGCGCTGGATGCGCGGACATCCGCGTATTGAACGCTCAGCATACATTGTACATTATTGGGTGTGCGGGTGTCCGCGCATTGAACACACAGCTGTATATCGTTGGATGCGCGGACGTCCTCATGTTGAATGCTGCTCAGCCATAAGTCGTTAGGTGCGTGGGTGTCCGCACGTTGAACAGTCTGCCAGGCTTCATTGTACATGTACAAACATAGTATATGACTTTGTCCTTCTGCGTGCGGACACCCGCGCACTTTGCCAAAGGCCTCTGAGGTTTCTATCCCGAGTCTATCTTTAACACTGTGTAGTTAGCCGAAACACCCCTTCTATGGGCGTGCAAGGCAAAGCGTCGTGCGAGAGCTCACGTGAACGGGAACTCGAGCTTGCGTCATCGAAAACGACCATGATATCTGCCCCCCAGGAAACCTTCTGAATAATTGGTGAATAACATCGGGTGTATTCTGTACATTCTCTACAGAGGAATTTCCTCTGATGTGCAGTGTGGGGCGCACAGTGTGAGGCCCGTAAGCAGTGACTGTCCGTCACGTATCGCATTCAAGCGCCAGATGCGCTGGCAGGAGTGATGACGCGCCGTGACCGTGATTCTAGACAGTTCGGGAGGATGGTGAAAGTGCTTATAGCTACCCTCCTTCACCTAGAGTTCTGGCCAGCTTGCTCACTACCTCTTCTCACCCTCATCCTATTGCGTCTTGTAATTCCGTCTGTGCGTCCGACGTCACTCGCCATGCATCGTCTCTCTGCTGCCTCTACGTCCGCCGTCCGTCGCAACGCGACCAAGGCTGCGAAGCCCGTGCTGAAGCGCGGCGCGCATAAGGAGGTCAAGTTCTCAAATGAGGGTCGCGCGGCGATCCTCAAGGGCGTTGACGTGCTTGCCAATGCCGTCAGCGTTACGCTGGGTCCGAAGGGTACGTCGCGCGCATACGTTGTGCGTCAGCGAGGGTCTGATGTTTGTGTTGCAGGTCGTAACGTGATCATCGAGCAGCCGTTCGGGGGCCCCAAGATCACAAAAGGTGAGCGTATTTCCCCTTACACGTGTTTCTTTCGTGCGCTACAAGTGCGTAGATATATATGCTGGTGTATCTCATCGTGGTGGGTAGGAGGTCGCCGAGACGTATGACGTGGGAGGCCCTCACGACTTCCAGCGCGTTTCCCAGGCCGTACGTGACGACGTTCCTTCCACGACCATCATCCGTGTGTGTATGCGCGCATCCTTGCTGCTCGCACCCTTGCTGCTGCACACCGCTCGCTCTTCGCAGGGCTCTTGCTCCCGTTAATCGCGTGCTGACCAATCCCCTCAGACGGTGTCACTGTCGCCAAGTCCATCACCCTCAAGGACAAGTTCGAGAACCTCGGTGCTCGTCTCGTCCAGGACGTCGCCCAGAAGACCAACGAGATCGCCGGTGATGGTACCACGACTGCGACCGTCCTCGCGCGTGCTATCTACTCCGAGGGAGTCAAGAACGTCGCTGCTGGTTGCAACCCCATGGACCTCCGTCGCGGCTCGCAGGCGGCAGTCGAGCGCGTCGTCGAATTCCTCGCCGCGCATGCGAAGACTATTACTACCACCGCCGAGATCGCTCAGGTTGCGACGATCTCAGCCAATGGCGACACTAAGGTCGGCAACTTGATCGCGCAGGCCATGGAAAAGGTCGGCAAGGAAGGCGTCATCACCGTCAAGGAAGGCCGGACGATCGACGACGAGATTGAGATCACGGAGGGCATGCGCTTCGACCGCGGCTTCATCTCTCCCTACTTCGTCACGAATCCCAAGTCGCAGAAGGTCGAGTACGAGAAGCCGCTCATCCTGCTCGCGGAGAAGAAGATCTCGTCCCTCCAGGAGCTCCTCCCCACGCTCGAGATCGCCGTCCAGCAGCGCCGGCCGCTCATCATTATCGCCGAGGACGTCGACGGCGAGGCCCTCGCAGGTTGCGTCGTCAACAAGCTCCGCGGCCAGCTCAACGTCTGCGCGGTCAAGGCTCCCGGCTTTGGTGACAACCGCAAGTCGATCCTCGGCGACCTCGCGATCCTCACCGGTGGCACGGTCTTCTCCGAGGAGCTCGACATGAAGCTGGACAACATCACGCCCGATATGCTCGGCTCGACAGAGTCGATCACAATCACCAAGGACGATACCGTCCTTCTCAACGGCATGGGCACCAAGGATGCGATCCAGTCGCGCTGTGAGCAGATTCGCGCGCTCATCGAGGACCGGACAACGTCGGACTACGACCGGACGAAGCTCCAGGAGCGTCTCGCGAAGCTCTCGGGCGGTGTTGCGGTCATCAAGGTCGGCGGGTCGTCCGAGGTCGAGGTCGGGGAGAAGAAGGACCGTTATGACGACGCGCTAAACGCGACCCGCGCCGCGGTCGAGGAGGGCATCCTCCCCGGTGGTGGTACTGCGCTGCTCAAGGCATCGCTCGTGCTCGGCTCGTCGACGCCCGGCGCCCAGGGCTCCTCGCCCGTTGCGCCCGACGCGAAGCCCATCCCCACCGCGAACTTTGACCAGGAGCTCGGTGTCTCAATTATTCGTCGCGCGATCACAAACCCGGCGCGCACGATCATGTCGAATGCGGGCGAGGAGTCGTCGGTGATTGTTGGCACGCTGCTCTCGCAATACGGCGGCGCGGACAAGTTTGCGTGGGGCTACGACGCGAGCAAGGGCGAGTACGTTGACATGATCAAGGCCGGTATCGTCGACCCGCTCAAGGTCGTACGTACGGCGCTCATCGACGCAGCGGGTGTGTCCAGTCTGTTGACGACCAGCGAGGCATGCGTCGTCGAGGCAGACGAGCCCACGCCCACGGGCCCGCCGATGGGCGGCATGGGCGGTATGGGTGGCATGGGCGGGTTCTAAGTGGCTCGCCTCGGTTCTCCCGTTCCCTCGTCTTCCCCTCTTGGGTCAAAAGTAATTCTCATCCCCCGTATCATCCCCGGCATCTCACCACACGCTAGTGCTATATAGATCTAGTTAGTTTACGTCGCTTACTGTACTCGCTGTCCTTTACTAGCCTTACGCTCACGCGGTGCAATGCCACACATCCTGCTCCTCTCAGTCCGAGTGTCCTGAGTGTGTCGTGGTCGCGAGTTGCGGTCTCGTGCTCGACTCAGAGACAAGCGCGGGCAGAGAGCGGCGGCGAACTGCGTCCGGGCGAGACAAGACGTGAGTCGATGGGCAGGAACGCTGTGCAGAAAAAAGCGAAAGTGGGGGGCGAACGGGCGCCTCGGAGAGTGGGCCCACGATCGATATCCGGCTCCTGCTCGCTGAGTCGCCCTCGCGCGTCGCGGGTGCGCGAGCCTCGCCTCTTCCGCGCCCTCATATAAGTAGCCTCCTCGTCCGCCGCAATCCCTGCTCCCACTCTCTCTGCTTTCGCGCTCTCCTTGCTGTCCTCCTCTCTCTCCTCGCCCGCGCACGCACTCTCAGACATGGTCGACGCGAAGGCGCAAAAGCGGGCCAAGTTCGAGGCGTCTTCCCCGTTCTCCGCGACGAGCTCCTCGCCTACCTCAAGCATGAAGGCATGCCCACCGACGCCGTCGAGTGGTTCAAGCGCGTACGTCCTCTCCCGGACCTCCTCTCTCGCCCGCTCTCACCCTCTGCGCCAGAACCTGGACTACAACACTCCCGGTGGCAAGCTCAACCGCGGCATGTCCGTCGTCGACTCCGCCGAGATCCTTAAAGGCCGCGAGCTCTCCAATGACGAGTACTTCAAGGCCGCCCTTCTCGGCTGGTGCGTCGAGCTCGTGAGTCCTCCCGTCCCTCCGCTCTTTGCGCTCGCTCCCACCCCCGTGGCTCACCAGAGTTCGCGCGCAGCTCCAGGCCTTCTTCCTCGTCTCGGACGACATGATGGACCAATCCGTCACCCGCCGTGACCAGCCATGCTGGTACCGCGTCGAGGGTGTCTCCTACATTGCCATCAACGACTCGTTCATGCTCGAAGGTGCCATCTACTTCCTCCTCAAGAAGCACTTCCGCGCCGACCCTTGCTACGTCAACCTCCTCGAGCTCTTCCATGACGTACGCTCCCTTTCGATTCGTGCGCGCGCGATGACACTGACGCGTGTTGGCCGGGCAGACGACGTTCCAGACCGAGATCGGGCAGCTCATCGACCTCATCACCGCGCCAGAAGACAGCGTTGACCTCTCCAAGTTCTCGCTCGCGAAGTGCGTCTAACCGTATTATTTCCCTCTCGCGCCCGCTCACCCACCGCGCGCGCAGGCACCAGAAGATCGTCATCTTCAAGACCGCGTACTACTCCTTCTACCTCCCCGTCGCCCTCGCCATGCACCTCTGCAGCATCCCCCAATCCGGTTCCTCTTCCTGTCCCTACGCCCTCGCCGAGTCCATCCTCGTCCCTCTCGGCGAGTATTTCCAGGTCCAGGACGACTTCCTCGACTACGCCACGCCACCCGAGATCCTCGGCAAGATCGGAACGGACATCGTCGACAACAAGTGTTCCTGGTGTGTCAATACCGCGCTCGCGCTCGCTAGCCCGAGCCAGCGCGCGGTCCTCGACGCGAACTACGGTCGCAAAGACCCCGCGGCCGAGGTGCGTGTCAAGGCGCTCTACGAGGAGCTCGGGATTCGCGCGCGGTACGCCGAGTACGAGGAGGCGGCGTACAAGCGCATCATCGGGCTCATCGAGACGATTCCCGCGGAGGGGCGCGCGTTTGATGGCGGGATCACGCTGAGGAGGGAGGTGTTCAAGGCGTTCCTTGACAAGATCTACAAGCGGCAGAAGTAGGGCGGCTGACACAGACACCCGATTGTTGTATCATACCCAGTGCGCATGTTGTCTTCTATCTTCCCATGTAGACCTGCGTGCTTCTCTCGTCTCTCGCGTTTGATGTGTGGAATACAAACATGCCTTGCGAGGCGCATATGATCTTCGTCAAGACATCTCCCGCGGTGAACTAAAGGCGCGGACTCGCTGCATAATTGCCGCGTTTCGCGCTTTGCGCTTCAAGTCACGCCTAGCTGCACTCCAAGACCTGTGTGGAAGCAACGGGATTGTACGCTCGACGCTGTCCTTGGCCTTTGACGGTATCTCGCTTGTCACCTGGACTACAAGCTGCTGGAACCTGGGACATATTCTAGTCAGCCGCCCGTAGCGCGCAGGCCGTCTCATGCAAGTCAGCTTTCTTTATCTTCTCATTTGGTTGCTGAAACTGTACTTTGTGCGCTGCATTTACCAGATCCTTCGACACCTTCACTCAAACCTCTTCAGTCGCGAGGTATCCGTCGCCCCTAAGGCCGATGGCACCACATCAAAAAACACGGCGTTGGCCTTCGTTTGCCTCGAGAAACCACACGGCCCCAACGCTGCATGGTCGTACCTCGATCAGTGGTGCGACCCCACGCATATTGTACGTCCCCTCCGCTCACTTGCCATCATTCCACTGACCAGGCTCAGCTGCTTCCGCAACCATTGTTTCGCGCCGTAGTTCACCACCAACGTGGTCAATGCGTGGAGTCAAAAAACAGCTCCGCTGCTCGCGGGCAGTACGTTAACCGCCGCGGGCCCCTCCCCCGCTCTGTTCCAGAGGTCGCACGTGAAATAGCGCTGCTGCAACGGCGAGGGATGGTGCACGGGGACGTGCCCATCCTTCTCATGCATGGTTGGGGGGCGTAGTACGGGGACAGATGAGGATGGTCGGGTTCAACTTGGCGGGCGATGTGCTCTACCTAACATTGATGTTTCTCCACGAGGACTTTGTGCGCGTCCGTGTGCAGCCGCGAGTGGTTAGGTTCCAGCCCGTTACCACAGAGGTGAACGAAACATGGTGGATTTCCTGGGTTCAGGATCGGCGTGGGCACTGAGGTCGACGTAGCCGAAGGGGATCGCGCATACCTTGTCCATACAAAATCGCATGGTCGATGTCGGTAAATGTCGATATCTTCCTTGTATAATGGGGCATCGCAAAAAGCAGCGTTGTCGCTCCAACTTGAGACAAGATACATTTGCCAGTATCTGTATAGTAGTACAACAGCGAATGCGAAAGCAGTACGAGAGCAACAGTATTCGTACACACCGTGAAGTCGATCAATACAACGCCGTCCCGAACACCTCCCTCAGCTTCGGCCCAAAGTCGTAGTTCCTGCGCAGCACCGTCGTGCTCACCGCCCCTGGGCGCGCCCCCGGGTGCGTGTGCGGGTGCACGACCGCCGCCCTGGGCACAGCGGGCCCGTGCGTGATCGTGCAGTAGTTGCACCCGCACGTACACGCGTCCGCCCACTCCATGCTTTCGCGGACGTGGACGAGCTTCGCACCGTCGTTCCAGCCGAGCCGTTCCAGCTCTTCCGGGGAGAGCCGCTCCTGTCGGCAAAGCGCGGCGAACGCGGGCTCGCACCAGTGTGGGATGTCGTATGTGCGCGCGAGCTCGATGCGGTCGAGCGGGGCGGCAACATAGCGCGCGATCTCTTCGATCGCCGTGTCGCGCAGGGTATCGAAGAGCCACATCGTGGAGAGCTTGAGCACCGCGATCCAGTGCGCCTTGTCGTACGTGCGCGTCGGGCCATATTGGCTGCGGCGGAGAGTGAGCATGTAGCGCGTTGCTGTGTCTCCTCGATACAAGCCTGTCGCGAGATCGGACCACGATCGTCCTTGGATCATCAAGCAGAGCCACGAAACGGCGCCGCTCAATGTTCAAGGGATCGAATCTGGTCTGTGGATCGCCTCGAACGTGTACCACGATCCTCGCGATCACCACCAGTTCAACTCTCAAGAGTCGAGTCTCTGGCTCCATTCGTTCGTCCATCATCGAGCTTTTCATGTGCCTCGCACACTCATATCATAAAAATAAGGTACTCACGGGCGAAACAAGACCCTCAGCAGCGCACGGAACTCGTCCTCCGTCACGCCCTCCAGCCTGAGCGGGTTCGCGTCCGACTCGCCCTCATGCCCCTGTGGGTGGTCCGCCGGCGGGAGCTCCAATGTGTCCCCGAACGCCTTCGACTCATTTTCGAACGGCTTCCGCAGAACCTTGAACAGGACGCCGTCCACCTGCGCGGGTGAGACCTCCATCAGCGTGTCGGGTCCGAAGTGGAGATGGTGGAAGTGGCCACGGATGGGAGACCGCGGAGGACGAGGACAACGTGTGCACGTAGCAACGAAAGAGGTGTAGATACGCACAAGGAAAACGATGTCCTGGCTGTAGAACTCCTCGTCGCGTCGCGTGGCCAGACGCGGGGCCGGGGGGTCTGCGTCCCCCTTGGGCGACGACAACCGACTCTCATGCACGTCCGGAGAGCTCCGGCAAGAGCGCGAGCGTATCGTTGAGAGCGCACCGAACCGGTCAACGATGGCATCTGTGTTCATCGAGGCCTGCACAACAGGCGACACGAGGCCACCCTGTGGGTGTTCGTTTACGATCGGTCGCATTGAGACAGTGCGGGGCACGTACGGAGGGCCCGTCGCTCGAGCTTTCGGCGTCAGACATACGTTGTACTGTGCTGAAGAAAAGGGTGTAGAAGCAACAGGCACACTAGACTCGGAAAGCAGGGGTTAGAGGAGAAGATCATACTTAGCGCTGAAGCTCCCTCGTGCGGACCCTCGTGCGAGGCGGCTCGTCGGGCCGGGAGTAGCAGAACTCTCGCCGGGGGCTCTCGACATACTTACCGCAACTATCCGTCAGGAGCCTAGCTGAGAAGCTGACATTAGTCGTATACACTACCCACACTCTGAGTCATTTCAATTCTTAGATCGGCGGCTTCCGCGGCCACGCCGATTACCACCTGTGATGCATCTATAGCAGCGACAAACGAGATGGAGTACAAGGGCATTGCAAACTAGTAGTAAACAAGACGAATAAAATGCAACCGGGCGGGCAATAACGGCACCGCGAAGACATCAAGAGGTCAAAACGAAAGCAACAACGAAAGCAGAGGGACATAAATCGTGGAACGAAAACGGAAGCACGGCCTCACACTGGTGTAGACGACGAGCGCAAGGAACTTGAGCTCCACACATGGATCACACCTGCAAAAAGTCGATAGCGACGCCGCCCACCCGCTCTGCCGATCGAACAGGTACGGTATCTCATCCCAATGTGCCGGCCTGCGATGGGGAGCGCGCGCGACCCCTGGAGCATTCGAGCCGTGGGACCGCAAGGGGGCGGGGGGTTCCTTGTCGTCGGACCCGGGTGCATGTGAGAAGAACGTCGGGGGTACCGGCGTCGGGGCAGCAGTGGAGCCGGAGTCGGAGGAGGACTGGCCGCAACGGAAGGCAGGCTCGCGGTCCGTCATGTTGAGCCACGTCTTCGGCGTCGAGAGGTCATCTATTTATCGATGGACCGTCTCCGCCTTAAACAGATACGCGGCGTTGGGCCCCACGCTCAGCAGATTCGCGTAACGATGATGATGCCTGTCGACGCGGTCAGCGAACATGAAAAATCAGAGCGAGGGCGAAAACTTGGCTTCCCCAGCGCGCGTTCGGGGACTCCTTAGCCACAATTGGACGACGTCCACCCCGCGCCGTACGATGCTCCGCTTTTCCCTGACTGCCGAGTTGACGCACCCGTACCCGTACAATAACGGCATATCGTGTGCGAGTCCCCCTGAGGACTCCGTCAGCTCGAAAGAGTCGAAAAGAGTGATGGTCTCACAACAGGTGACCTTGCTATGGCATCCGACTACTCCGACGGCCACTTTTCCAGAGGACTGTAGTGGCAGCGTGGCCGGAAGGAAAGGTTAGTAGTAAACGCCAAGAAACGAAACGACGGACGACTCACGAGAGGGGTGAAACTCGTGGTGCAGCAGCAGCATACGGTAACGCCGCTATTGGCACAAGCTCTGCGCCCGCTTGTCGGGCAGCGGCGGAGAGATGTGTCGCGGGTACACTATCTGCTCGAGCTGGCTGCCCTGTGGCAAGGATGACGAGCGGCTGCTGCTGCGACTCCGGCTCGGATCCTGCTCGACGCGCCCCTCTGGTGGCCGTCGCGCCCGGAAGGCATCCCGGTGACAGTCATGTTGAACGAGACGTCCGTTGACGGAGCACAACCAATCTCGACGAAGGACGTGCTAGTGTCAGTCTGAATGCAAAGCGCCGTCAGGAGGAGTCCTGGCCCAACCACGAAAACGATGCCAGCGAGCACCAGCGGGAGTTCAGAGGAGGGGAGACGAGCGAAACAATCGCGGCAGTGACGGACGAGGGGCTGGGTGAGTGCATGAAACAGCAAGGGAGGACGTACGAGGGACGCGGGGTCCGCACTGTCTCCCATTGCGGGGGCTGCGCAGATGGCGGGGCCGAGGGAAATGAAAGAAGGCCGGGCCGCGGTGGCTACCTCCGAAAGAGAAGCCTCACGCCAGGACGCGTGTACAGCGATGCCGTACACGGAACAAGATCATATGTGTGGGGAGAGCGTTCGATGGAGATCGTGGCTGCAGAACGGAGAACAAGATGATATCTCCCCGGCGCGCATGAGGTCGATCCCACGACGCGGCCGCACAACTTGCGCACGCAGGCGTGCATGCAGGCTCTCGCGGGGTACCTGGCACATATAAGCGCGGGGACAGAGAAGGAACAAGGGGAGGGAAACTAGAGCGTACAGAACAAGGCCGCACCTGCGAGGGCATCTAACGTCCCTCTAGATCCGTGACCCCAATCCTGCCGAGACGGAATATGTACTGTTCGTCTACCATAGGGCTCGAGAACGTCAAACGAGGAAGACCAAAAACAGAACAAGGACGAGGGACGCACTCTGGACATCCAGGGCGAGGCCGAGGTTGCGGTGCCTATCGCGGGTCATGGTGGTGCTGTAAATACCGCCAAGCGCATGGACAGACAAGACGGGGTGTGAGAAAAAATGCTGAGACGCACCGACATGGCGCACCTTACGGAGAACTTTGCCTGCCCATGCAGTAAGCGCGCCGCTCGTCCACTGTCTCGTGCGTGATGGAGTGCGGTAGGGTTGGCATTAATGAGAGGACGTGCGAGTTGTGAACCTTGGAGCCAAAGAGCGTAAAAGCAAGACCACGGTAGAGCTGAATGGACACCGGTGAGGATGCAGCGGCCAGTACGTTTGTTCTATGGGAAACTGGACGGGCCTGGCCGGTGGACGAGCGTCGTCGAGCATGAAGCTTAGTCGAAAATTATGTGCAGCTGAGCGCGAAACGGGCTCGCTGGTTCAGCGGGCGACACCCCCGGTCGCGGGACGAGCGCCCACTGCGGTACGGCACTGGGCCGCGCGGAACCTCCACGCCGACGAGACCATCATTTGGCTTGCCAGCTTGTGCAAGCCAAGTCCAGCACATGCGTCCCGCCGCGGCGTCGCACCAGCGGCACCGCGGAGCCCTTCGCCAAGAAGGCCGCCGTACACTTTTTGTCGTCGACAACGAATCGCCCCGCGCGTCGTCATCGCGTCCGCCTCGGGTCCCGAGACTCACTAGTAACAATCTAGTAGTGGCCTCGTGCCCGCAGCGCTAGCGGGCACCGCCGTCGGCGTCGTCGGCGGGGGTGAACGAACCCGCCTCAGCTCCCGCGACCGCGACCGCGACGGTGGGCAAGTGGACGTCGGCGTGGGCGAAGAGCCGGGCCAGACAGGCGGCGTCGTGGGCGTCGGCAAACGTTGGCGTAGACCGTCGTGGCGGCTCAGACCGACTCGCGTCTTGGTCGTTCCGCGGCGGCGATGCCAGTCAGCAGGTTGCGCGTACGGGCAAGTACGGTGACGAATGCACACGCACTAAGAGGAGATACACGCAAGCACCGATGTTCGTTTTAATGCTACGACGGACGACGGACTGGGACGGGAACTAAGCAGACGAGCGTACACCCCTTTAGCAGACGAGCGGGAATCACGTTACCATGATGTGCGAGTGAGAGCGAGATGGAAATGAGGATGAGGATGGATGAGGATAAATGAGAGATGAGTACTTGAGTACGAATGAGCGAGCGAGGTTGGAAGGGCGAAACGCGGGTGAACGACAGAACGCTCGAGCGGGAGATTAAGAGTCCGGGGAGCAGTCCGGGGAGACGCGAGGATGCACGATAAGTAAAAGCACACGAGAGTCCGACGGGGAGCAGGCGAACGCGAGCGCCGCGCCGCGGTATATAACACTGGGCAAGTTCGGAGCATTAAAACTACAAGGCAGCTGTATGGTATGATCGAAGGCGGTGATATACGCTACTTATATACTTGTAAATCAACTTACGCGACGAGAGGCGAGGGAGGAGGAGAGCACGAGAGGAAGGAGGTAGGGGCAAACGTAGCTTGGTGCAGAAGGGTCCGGACAGCGAGCAAGGCACGGAAGTCCAAGTAAGTCCATGAGGTCGTCGACGACGACGGCGACGAAGACGAACAAAGACACGACGCGTCAAGCCCTCATTCCAAGGGCAGTGGCGAGCCGTACTTGACCATTCCCACTGGACTGTCCCGCAGCACCGCCAACTCCAGGGGATCCGGGCCCACGCCGTCCATCACCAGGTGATGTGGGGGGTACGCTCCCGCGTCCGCCATAATCTGCGGATGTGCCAGGTGAGCCTGCAGCGGATGCATGGCCGACGGGAGACCCGGCATATGACCGTGGAGATGCGATGGGCGAGGGTGTGAAGGATGGCGACCGCGCGGCCCATCCGTGCCCGGGCCCGGGAAGTACGTGCTGCCCGCCTGCGCCATATGCGGGCTGTCCGAGAGCGGCACCCCGTACGACTCCGCCGCCGCGAGCTGCTGCATCATATACGCCTCCTCCGAATTCCGTCGCCGCTGCTCCCGCTCCGTCTCGGAACGCTGCTGGTCCTGCAGACGCTGTCGGAGCTGCTCCTGCTGCTGACGGTGGAGCTCGAGAGAATAGTGATGATGCGCCACCTGCGACGGCGGGTGCACGCTCTGCGGGCGGAGGGGGGCTGCGGGAGGGGCGGTCGACGAGTGCGAGTTGTGCGGCGGAAGTGACGAGTCCGGATGATGTTGTGGGCCGCGAGAGGCCGCGTGCTGACGGGCCTGAGCGAGCTGCTGATGCTGCTGCTGCGTCTGGGAGCGGTACAAGTGCTCGAGCTGCTGCTGCATCTGGAGGTGGGTCGTTGCAGAGTTCCATGACAGAGAGCCGTCGAGATTGGGGCCGAGAGTCGGACCCGTAGTCGTACTCGGCCCCGGGCCCGCTGCTAACTGGGCGGCCAGCATCTCCGCCGAGCCGTTCTGCGCGTTCCCGTGGGCCATCGTCGTCGTCGGATCCAGAGAAAGGTCGTTTGCGAGGGTTGAGCCCGGACGATGACCCATATGGGTCGGGGCGTACGACGCTGTTGTGGGTGCGTGGAAGGAAAATGGGGAGTCTCCGTTGGGTGACGTCGGCTCGTCTCCTCGCGCATCCTCGACGCTGCCTCCATAGCCGCTGCGAGGCGCCGTATGGGCTCGAGCCCACCGCCGAGGCGTCCTGGATGTCCGACGGCAAACCGTAGGGATAGCTCTGACCCCCGAGGGCCCAAACCTGGTACTCCTGCAGCGTATGCGCCTGAGCCAGCAGAGCCTGGTGGGTAGTAGTATGAGGCGGGGGCAGTGCCTGGACGTGTAGCGGTTGACGGTCGGCGTCCGTGATAGGGCCCTGATGGTGTTGGTAGGGGTAATAGGATGAGTGTGTGAGTGGCTGCTGGGGCTGTGATCCGGGGGCGAGCGGCGGTGGGGGAGGGAGCCGCCGCGGGAGGGGGAGGGAGGGATGAGGCGACGACGGCAGAGAGGGGCGGGAGGGATCGAGCGGGGTCTGCTGGAGGGCCGCTGCTAGATCCTGGGCGTGGGGCGGATGGGAGATCGGGGAGACTGAAGTTGAATTGGGTGGCGGAGGGGACGAGAAAGGACTGGCCCGAGTGGTGCCCGAGCTGGTGCTGGTAGCCAGCGGTGGAGGGAGGTGACGGGGCGGCATTGATTGAGGCACGAAAGGACTGGCCGGGGTCACGAAAGGAATGACTGTTGGGCGGCCGAGCGGCAGCGGGGGCGCGGTCGACATCGGCGGACTGCATGAGCCAGGGCGAACTTCCAGGGTGGTGAAAGAGCGCGTTCGCACCCTCGTAGCCCGTGCTCGTACCCGGGCGCTGGGCGATGGGCAGCCCGTGCGCGCCCTCCTCCTGCTTGACGGCCATGGCGGGGACGGCGCCGGTGAGAGAGCCTGGGGAGCCAGAGGAGAGCTGGGGACGCTTGTTGCGGGCGGGGCCACCCTTGGCGGCGGCGGTCATGTTGGCGTGGAGGGAGGTGAGCTCCTGCATCATGCGCTCGTTCTGCTCCTGCTTGTCGCGTGGACGGTCTGGGCGTGCTGGCGGAGGTTGTCGAGGCGGGAGAACTGCTTGGAGCAGTGGCAGGTGAAGGGACGCTCGCCGGTGTGCTTTCTGTGGGCGGCGAGGGTTGGGGTGAGCGGGAGGGCGTGGGCGGGGGATGGGCGAGGGTGGGGGGCGCATAGAGGGGCGGGGAACGGGGAAACGAACCTGATGTGCCGCGCAAGGTGCTCGCTGCGGGAGAAGACCATCCTGCACTCGCCGTAGCCTCTGCATTGGAAGGTCTTTGCAGGGGCGGGGCGATAGCGGGGCTTGACGACGCCAGAGGCCTGTGCGGCGGCGACGCGGGGGTCGTGTGGGGAGTCGAAGGGGTGGGAGGCGACGACGGCGGCCATCGGGTCGGGGCTGTGGGCGGGAGAGGCGTCGAGGGGGGGAGGGGATGGCGGGGGCGGGGACTTTTCGCAGTCCATGGCCGGGGCGAAGCGGCGAGCTCCCAACCTAAAAGGTGCCTGAAATCTCAATTAAGGCACTTTCCCGGCGGAGTTCGAATCTGCCCGTCCGCCAGTCCCGCCCGGCCGGGACAGGCACTCTGGCCGGTCCCGCATGCTTGTCCGCTTGTCCGCCGTTTTGACGTCAAAACATATCAGAACATACCCTCCTCCCTGCTCCACCGCCAGATCGCCCACCAGACGCCTGATCCCGCACCCCGGCCCCGCCTGCCCGCCCCCGCCCCCGGGCACTGGGACTCCGGCCACCCGCGAGCGTCGACATCGCGATCTGCGCCTGTCCTCCCTGCCCAGCGCGTGGCCGCGGGAGCCCGCGCCGGGCGGGGAGCCTGCTCCGAGAGCGTTCTCGCCCCTTGGTGGCTGTGTCCGGCGGCAAGGGCCAATGAGCGACGCTGCACGTGGCCAGACGATCCCGGCCGTCGGCCATCCCGGCCTCTGCTCGCTGGGCAGGCTCCCGTTCCGAGTCGCACCCAACGCGAGAGACGGCTGGCAGATGAGACAAGGGCGAGGGAGGCTCGCTCGCCAGCGCCCGTCTTCTTCGCGTGGGCTTGCCCCGCGCCGCGCTCGCTGCGCACCCATGATCAGGCCGCTGTCAGCTGCGAGTGCTGCGAGTGAGAGCGGCGAATGCTTTTCGAGCGCCGCCGAGCCTGGCCCATCAGCCTCTCGTCCGTCGAAACTCTGCTCACCAGACGCTTCGCGCGCTCGAACGGCCGGTCTGGCAGCGATAGACAGCGATGGACTGGCTGAGACGAGATGGGAGACGTTCCGGACGCGCGTCGAAATGGCGCGCAGCCGCGCGATCAGCCGTCGGCTGATCTCCGGCGCGCGCGGGCTCGCGTGCGGGTGCATTGGCTGCTTTGTCGCCCGAGAGGCAATCCGTCCTTTCGTCCTTTCGCCCACCGTTTGAACTCACGAGACGAGTGGTGATGATGAGTAGGAGAACGCGGAGGGCTGGGGCCTCGCCGGACGGTACACACCAGACGGCCGGCGCGCCATCTGGGCGAGACGTCGGCAGTCGGAGGCGCGCCTGCGATGCATGTTCTGGCCGCCTCCGCGCGGGGATAGCTCGCTTCTTGGATGACGCCTCCAAATCTGTCTCCCGGCGATATCGCCGCGGCGGGCTTCATCGTCCGCCCTCTGTCCCAAGGCGAGCTGGAACCTGCAATCGACTTTCGACTTCGCCAGCGTGCGCAGTGCGAGTTCATAAGCGATTCTGCACCCGCACACAGGTACACCGGCGCAAGGCACGTCCTCGCACCGCAAATCGCTGCCCCGCGGCCGTCGAGCGCGAGCGAGTCTGTCGTCGGGGCCTGGCCCTGATCGGCGCGCGTGCCCCCAGCCTTCGCGGGTGCGCTCCTCTGTGCTACTTACCGCCTTTGCTCTGCGCTCCCTCCCATGGGACAGAAGGTCAATGGGCAGAGGAAATGACCGGCTGTCCGTGATTCTCGGCGCGCCTCAGCCCAGGCCCGCCCATGCCCTGTCCTGTCCACATTGTATGTACATTGCTGTACGCGTTCAGTGCTTAGACCGCTCCCGCGCACCGATCTGCCCAGCCCACGTCTATCGGTCCAGGTATGTACTCTCATCGTCGACGCCTTACGCCCGCGGCGGCCACGTTGACAGTTGAAGATCCGGGCCGCCGTGTTCGTCGCTTCGTCGAATTGTGCCCTTGTCCATGTCCGGACGTCGTCCATTCCCCGTGCAAGCTCAATCACCGGGATCCTTGCCACCGGCGTCGTGTTCGTACGTGAGCGTGGAGGCACATCTGTACTGGAGAGTTCGCGCGGCGAGGTCGTTGACACTCGACAGACCGAGAGCGCGGGCCTGCGTCCTTCTCGCTCGCGCTCGACCGTGTGGGCGTGTGTACGCTTGTGTAATGCGCAGTCAGGTGCTCCAGAGCGCAACTTAGAAGGCGACACAGGGGCTGAGCGCGTGAACGGATCGGTGGCCGACGCTGCTTCGCGCAGAGGAGCCACTGAGTGCAACGCTCCTCCTCGTTCGCGCGGAGGGTGAGGCGGGATTGCTTGCTCACCACTGCGCAACTGCGAGAGCCCACCCTGCAGGACGGGCCGGGTGAGCCCGATCCCGGCGGCAGAGCCAGGCACGGACCTCCCCGATCGGGAGGACGAGCGCGTGGCCGCGGCGCCACGTCACGATCCCGGGCATTCCCGAGCCGCCTTGATCTGCGTTCGGCTCTCGCTTTGTGCCCGACTTGCGACGGAGGACGGGCGAAAGCACAGGCGCAAACACCGCACCCTCAGCACACTGCGCACCCTCAAGGCCACAGGGAAAGCTGGAATCGCTCGCATCGGTGCGCGCGCCGGACGTCAAAGTCCGCTCAGGGTCGTCCTCCCTAGCTGCGCGCAGCAGATGATCTCTCCTGCACCTTGCAGTGCTCCGACTGGCAGTCCAGGCGCACGGTGGACGAGCTGAAACGACCCCGCTCTCTGCGTTCTGTTCGCCGTTGGATCAGAATCCGCCTCCAAGTTCCACCGAACCTTCCTCCACCCCCCCCTCTAAATCGTTCATCCGCTCCGTACGCGACCGAGATCCATGCCCACGATACCCTGCAACGTCAACCGTTTTCGCGACGTGCGCATGGACTCCAAACGTCGACTTCGCCCACATGGATCCGGAAGAAAGCATACAAACTCTGCGTCCGCCTCGGTCGCCTAGCGCCCGATCGCCGTCACCGTACTGACCGTCGCTCGACACCGTCGTCGCCCCGTGCGCCGCATACCAGCTCGCTCTCCTCCTCCTCGCCCGCCCGCTCAATGTCCTCGCAGACCAGCGCGTCCCCGCGCCATGCACACCGCTCGCGCCACGCGCCCACGCGAACAGAACGCTTCCCGCGTCTTTTCCCAGGCACGGGCCTCTCACACCCTAAGGCTCTGATCGTGCCTCTCCCGCCCTTCCATCTCCCAGCCCGCCTTCGCGGGCCTCCGGTCAATCTGTCAGCCCGCCCCCCCGGCCCCCGATCAGCCTTGCCTTGGGGAAGCGCATGGCGGCGAGACGAGGGAGGGGAGGAGTGTGGAGCGGGAGCAGTCGGCGACTCGCTAGCACCACTGGCGGCGCAAGCGAGGCGCGGGGGTCCCCGACGCGCGCAGGTCGGGTGGTTCACTGTCGCGCTGGGGCTACTCAACGTCCGTCCGTGCGTTCGTCCGCCCCGCGAACGTTTGGATGCCGACGCGCCCGGCGACCAGGTCTATTCAATTTCCGGCGGAAAGGAAAGGGAAAGACGATGGGCGAGTGCACGCAAGGGGCAGGGCGTACGTACTCAGGCCCAGGGGCGCGGCCGTGCTGGCAGGACAGGCAGGGCGCCGTGCAGCGCGCGACTCGACAGGGCAGGGCTCCGGACCTTGGTTGTCCACGAAGGTTCATAAGCACGGCGTTGAGTGTCTGAGTTCCCGTACGCCTCTGCTCGCCTCGCCCTCGAAATGCTGCTCGTCGTCCGCAAGTTCGTGCGTCTAGGTTCAAGCGCTCGGTGATGTCGGGCGAGTAGACGCCAGAAAGGGGGCGGGTAACGTCGGGCTGTCGGCGACGAGGGTGGAGAGGGCGGGGCGTCGAATGGTAGCGGTGGGGTGCGGGATGGTTTGCTGTGGAATAAGGCCGCGGTTTGAAGGGGATGGGTCACACAGGTATGTCGCAACGTCGTCGTAGGCTGTTGAGCTCGCTTCATCCCCAATACATACCCCCTCGTCGAGGCCCCGTTGAACACCTCCACTCGTCTGTCATCCACCCCCACTTCTGTCCGGAACCGTCCAACAATGTATAGGACCACGTCGAGGGTACGTTCCTGGTCGTCGCCGGCTGGGAATGCTCGTCAACGTCGTCGACATCGAAGGCCAAGTCTCAACACGGAAACTATCACCTCCAGCCCCCACACCCATCCCTCCCGCTTCACTCGCCCCCGCCCCCTTCTCACATCCCCAGCGCCGCGCCCGCATCCCGCCCACGTCATCAACATCCTCTGTCCTCGCCTCGCCCTCGCCTGCCCCTGCCCCCCAGACCCTCCCATCGATGGGCACGCAGACAATCGCGCAGCGGCGGCAGCCGCCCCAGAGCCCCCCTTCCCCGTCCCCTTCGTCCTCCTTCCACTCCAACGCCTACTCCCCGTGCTCCCGTCGGCTGCTCGCAACGCAGAGGACTGCGCGCGCGGCCAGGGACGGACAGGTACGCCCAGTTAACCACGGCTCCACCGCTCCCGGCGGCATCGCTTCGACGCCGCCCGGCGCACCCCTCTCTTCCCCGTCGCACCCCCCCTGCCCGTTCAACTTCTGCAAGTGGGGGCATTCGCCGCCGCCGCTCCCCTTCGTATGCTCGACGTGCTCTTCGCCGCCAGGTCGAGGTTGGCCCCTTCGAGTTTCTCGACTTCCCCGACCTCGATCACGCGGCCCTGTCCGGTGCGCTGATGCGCGCGCAATGGGGCCCCCGGCTGCCGCCCCGTTCCTCGCCCTGGCCCTGGCCGCTCTCGGGCCCGCAATCTCCATGCTGTCCGCGCGCAAACGAAGGACGAAGGCGGGGAAGAGCTCAGGAAGGCAGTAGGGTGGGGGCGGGCTCCACCCGCCCTGGGATGGGGGCGCTTCGACGTGTTCGCCCAGGTGGAGAGGAAGGCCCGCGTGGGGGGGCCCCGGGCGAGGGAAGTCGTTGAACTTCGAGCGTCCGCGCGGTTCGAGGGCGCGGGTGTGAGAGGCCAGCGCGGCGATCGAGAGCGTCGTTTGTGCGCGGCACCGTGGAGGTCTGGAGGCGGGCTAGCCGCCGCTGCGACGACGGCTGCGAGCCTCTTCGCGTCATGAGCCCGGCGTGACGGGCGGGCCCGCACGCCTGCTCGCTCTGCGACATCTTCGTAGCCGTCCGTCAATGTTCTCGAACGCCCTTCTAGCCCAACGGGAGGCCGCGTGCGCTCCGGATAATGGCATGCCGTTCTTGCGCTTCGAATGTTTTATCTCCGCAGAGATGCAGCG